ACTTGCAGTTTGTTGATTAGAATTATCAGCGTCGATAATTCCAATCGCAAATGGCAAGTGCACGGATTACATGTGCACATGAGCCACTTTAATATCGATATAATAAATATAATCGAACACCGCTAGAGTGTCTATTTGATAAAGATTGCCTCAAAAGGACAGTGAAATTTCCTAAAGGCATTATGATTTGAAGGTGTATGTCCAAAATAGGCCCAGAAAAGTATGAGGTGGTAAAAGGCATAATTGATGCGTTAAAAAATCAAAAAATTTTGAAAAATATTCTTGTGTCAAGTGGGAAGGACAAAGGTCCTTGTAACCAATTGTTCTGGTAAAGACCAGGACAATAATTTTATATTTCAACAGGATGGCGGGGCATGCCATACAGCTAAAACTACTAAAAAATGGTTTAGGGACATGAACATCAAGGTTTCCTCATGGCCTTCGCACAGTCCGGATCTTAATGTTATGGAGACATGTGGCATAAAACAAAACAAAATTTGTGCCACGATGCCCAAGAAACCGTTGCCCATTTGAAGATGATATTAAGTGAATTATGGCAAAATTTTTATTCTGGCGTATGTCAATCATTAATAAAAACAATGCCAAACAAGCTTGCATTGGCTGCAAAAGTTCATGCCGATGTAACGCCATATTAGAACAGTTATTTTTTAAAGTGTCCGAACATTTAGTTGTCACGATATTGTGCAATATTTTTGTTTATTTATTGACCTACAGTTTATTTTAATGTTTATAGAAACTAAACTCTTTAAATACTCATTAGAAATGTTAGACTTTAATATATTTTTAATGTATTTCTTAAATGTAAATAATTCAGTTAATGAAAATAAAGGTTTTAATAAGTTTTTGTTTGTCCGAACATTTAGTTGTTAGGGCTCGTATTTAAATCCCTTCCAGTTATTTTAAACAGATGAAAAATATGCAGACAGTGTTTTCATAGTATTAATGCTCTCAAAAATTTCATTACTTCATTACACATTACACTATCGCTATTAGATTTTAATTAATAGTTGACTTTTGACCTAATATTCATACTAGGGTCGGCAAGCGATATGTTTGGGTCGAGATTTCCATATGTAAGAAGAGTACAAGGCATTTATAATGTACTGAACAAAGAGAGAATAGTATTAAGAACGTTGCCAAACGTATGAAATAAACCGATCGTTGTTGTATTTTCCTTATAGCTTATAAATTTTTAAATATAAGTTGAAAATTAAACAACGACTGTAAAATGCTCAAACGTTCACCGCTTTTGGGAAAAATACCCTGAATTTAAAAAGCAATATCTGGAAATCCATTAGAAATAATTGATTGTAGCTTTTTAAAAAACTTTACTGCTATATTTTCTTCGAAGACAATATGTGAAAACCTTTACAAATAAAAAAGTTACACGATTGCTGAAAATTGCTATGCACTAAAAGGAAATGGGCGCGTTTTTTAAACATCCAAAGCAGTTTTTGGGTTATCGGGTGTTATGATTTAAAAAGTTGAGTTTTCAAATTACCTCGATTACTGACGTTTTTTCATTGTAAATAAATGGTCACCCTAACGATATTCTTATAACAGGATTTCAGATGCCCAGAAACATATCTAATGATTTATGTAGTTATCTTTCCGAAAAAAAAGACTTAAAATAAGCGCTTTTCGACACTGATTTTACTCCACTAGACAGGGAAAGGCGTACTTGTTTTTCTAAGAAATGTGGCAACACTGCAACAACACACCGTCGCATTTTTAATTGTCCGACCCAAAAGTAAGAGTTGCAAGAGTGGTATAACAAACAACACTTTAGTTTTAATAAGGAATTTACCCATCTCTTTGTAAACACCCTGTAGACGTCAGACATGCCTATCATAATCTGTAGACAGCTTAAAGTTTGGCGCGATTTTTTCATCTTCAACTTTCTACTAAACAATTTTTAAATATTTCATACTTTTTCAATATTGCAAGATGAAAATATCGACAACCAGTCTAACACTAATACTCGACTAAATATAATATATTACAAAAAACAAAAAATAAATCGAAATCTTAAAATCGAAATAAACAGTAAACTTGTACTTTTTTCCAGATATTAACTAAATATCAGTACTCAAATAAAATAAATAATATTACAGACCATATAAATAAATATATTATCTTCGTTTTAAATAATAAAAGTAATATACAGGGTGGTCTGAACTGTATTCCGGAAACTTCGGCAGCATATTCTGCAGATAAAAGTAAGTAAAAAAGTTCGTATAAATGTATGTCCTAAAATGCTTAGTTTCGGAAATACAGGGTGTAGAAGTTTCATTTTTATTTCGATTTTTTCTAAATAATTTATGAAGTAACATCAATATTTGGATCAAATTTTGGGTCTGGGAGTTTTTTGACATGAAAAATTTGATTTTGATGTCAATATGACTCTTACTTGTAGAGGGCGCCACCTACATATTTTCTAACTGGTTTGAAGAATAATAACTTTTCGTCGGTACCTGTATAAAACTACTGAGTAAAAAAATACATTTGTGACATATTTTACGTAAAAAAGGTCCCTTGGTAAAAATTCTACGAGTAATGGTTCTCGAGATATTTGGAATCGAATTTATCCAATACCTGTAATCATTACATAAATTAAACATGTTGAGTAAATAGTTATTAGGCTGAGATCATAAATTTTAAATGTTTTTGTGTCAAAAGTTCAACAGAAACTGTTTTATCACCATTTTTTGGCAGTAAAATTTATGATTAATATAAAAAAATAAAAATTTCCCAGATTTATTATTTCAGTCAAATAACTATCTACTTAACGTGTTTATTTTTTGTCAATAATGACATGTATTGACTAATTCTGTTCTAAATATCTTCAGAACGGTTGGTCGTAGCGATTTTTACCAAGAGATATTTTTTACGTGGTTTTATACAGGTACGGACGAAAAGTTATAACTCTTTAAAAGAGTTAAAACACATGTAGGTGGCGTCTCCTACAAATAGGAGTTATTTTGACATCAAAATCAAATTTCTCATGTCAAAAAATCCCAGGCACCAATTTTAATCCAAATATTGACGTTACTTCAGAAATTATTAGAAAAAAATCGTAATAAAAGTGACACTTCTACACCCTGTATCTCCGAAACTAAGCATTTTAGGACATACATTTATATGAACTTTTTTACTTATTTTTATCTGCAGAATATGCTACCGAAGTTTCCGGAATACAGTTCGGACCACCCTGTATAATAAAGTCTGGCTAACAATAGAACACGTGACAGTGACAGTCCTCTGTCGTTTTAATTGAAAAGTAGATTATACTATACTCTGCCATTTTTTGGATGTCGTCTGTCAAAAGCTTTCCTATCTCGTTAGGCACACTTTAATGACAAAGTATAAAATGGAATTTGGTTCGTAAGCTTTGACAATTTCGAAGGATAATTGGTTAAATTGTATTCAATTATTTTCGTAAAGCCTATTGAGGAATTGGGAAAATATAGTCACAATTATTTTCTGACTACATTTCTTTATCTCCTATTAGCCATTTTTAACGAAGCAAATAGTTCAAAATAAAACTTAAGTACACAATAGTTCTTTTTGTACAGTATTTCTAAAATGGGTATTGCAAAAACTACAAATCAGAGTAGAGAGGATTTCTAAAATCTTATATCATTATATCCATTAGAATAGTTTAATTTGTATTGAAATACCCTATAAGACTGATTAAATTGAGAAATTCTACCATCACAGATGGCAGAGAAATAGCATTTAATTGGAGCTTTATTTTTTATGTCTAGCAGCAGAAAATTGGAACATCTATATGAATAGAAAAATGACATAAGATTTAAGATCTATTGTGTTTAAAATAATATACAATAATTTTTTGCCAAACCAAATTCCATTTAAGAACCATTAATTTATTTAAAACTGAGCAAAAGGTCTTTACTTCCATCATTTAAAATTAAATTAAAGCTAAAAGAAACCTTAAAGAAAACTATTGCACATCATAAACCACTGGGCGAAGCTCGTCTATCTTGCCAAACCGTCCGAGACAAAAATATAAATATCTACGAAATAAACTTAAACATAAAACAACAAACGACACTACTACAATCTACAGTTTATATTGACTTCGATAATTATTTACAAAACCAGTCCTCTCATGGCATTGTTTCGATTTGCAAAAATAAACGTCTAAATATAAATGGGTGATGAGGTCAAAAAGGGGGCACATTATATATTTTTTTAATTTTTTCCCTTTTTCTGGCAAGAATTATCAACACAAGAAATAAAAGACTAGCCTCTAAAGACTACATCCTTGAATTCTATCAGCTAAAGTAATTTTGTAACAGCCTGTTGTGAATGTTGGTCGCGGTCCCTTTTGGAGAATCGGGGACCGCTCTAAAGCGTTCAGATTATTAGTGGGGGGCTTTGAGTACCCCTCGACGGCAATAATGTGAATGGGGAGTAATATGGAGCCCCGAGCAGGTCCTCAAGCCCCGTTTTTTGATCACAATCCTAACTGTTATAAAGTGTCTTTGTAGTAAACTTGGGAAATCGGTCAGGCTTTGCTTAAAAGACGAGGGGGTCAAAAATGTCTAAGACTATTAATTGTGCTTTTATATTGTAACGTGTATAATAGTCGAGAGATATTTTTTTAGAAAAGAGATCGAAAAAGTATAGGAAAATACCCCCGCTACTGCAAGAAAGAAACGATTGCGAAAGACGACCGACCCAAGGAAAAATTGAGCCTCACTTCTTTACAATAATAATTCTACAACACGGTATGGGCTAAAATTTACAAAAAATTCAGTAAACGGAACGTTACTTAATCCTAGATATTACTTTAAACCTATGAAGTCAACTTGGTTCTGTTTTTAAATATTTAGAACATATTTTTTCGTTTCCGATTTACATTGGATATCACACAAAAAAGTAAAATATTGGTTTCGCAGTCCTTTTAATCGTATCAGTTTTTTTTCAGTTGCTCTCGCACTTCACAACTTTTGTTATTTTGGTTTAATTTTGGTCGAAAATGTTTGCTTAAGTAGATCGAGTTTTACAATTGACCGATATATTTATTCCTGTGGGGGCGGTGCTGTATTTGACTTTAGTAAATTATCAATTTTTTAATAGCCTTATTTATTAACTTAAGCAAAAATTTCTGACCTTCTGTATTTCATTGACGGTATTCATTTTGAGAACAAACTATCAACAGGCATTCTTAAGTTGGCTCTTATACTGGCCAACTGTTCAATAGGCTTTCATATTTATGCATAAGTTACCAAAGTATATCTTCGTTTCTGGATCATTTACATAAGTAGACACTGAGTTACTTTAGTTAGTCTACCGCCCTATCTATATAATATCCTTGCATGGTATTTACTCTATTATCGATGTTGACTTGGCCTATGGAAATGTATTCACATTCCTAACCTTCTTGTCCATTAGTGCTACCTCGTTGTATATAATTTCCTTCTCAGTTTGTGACGAATGGCAAATATATGAAAATGCTGTATACCAAATTCCTACTCTGGACTCATGTTCTATCTAAACTTCATCGTATATACAGTTTAACTAACGTCAACAAGCACTTTCTAGTTCGTGGCTTCGTCTTCTACTGGCCTGTCTTTTTCGAAACTCGTTAAATTCCTCCTTCATCGCTTGTACCCTAGCATCAATATTATCGTACCGACTTCGTAGAGCAAATACCTTCCTCTGTGGCGGTCCCGGACCACCGTCCACTACATCCACATCTCTGGACCCAGTAGGAGTGGACGGAGTAGGCGTAGGCGTGCTGGGGTCAAACTCGTAGTGCCCATCAACACTACCCACGTCCACAGCCTTATGCAAGTGATCCGACGCCGAAGGACTGCTGGAGGCCAGTTCCAACCAATGACCCATCAACGGCGGAGGCGGTGGCAACATCGGGGGCGGGGGAGGAGGTCTGTAAGGTGGTAGACGCCAGTCGATGAACGTACTTCCACTATGGGAACTTTGGTTCTGTTGGGAAGAGGTGTTCTTGCTGCCGAAGCCGCTGCTACTAGATCGGCTTTCTGGTGAGCGATCCAGGTGATCTAGCTCAGGCGCGCTGCGGGCCAGTCTGGCATGACGTGGCGGTAGTAGTCGACTAGCTCGGAATCTCGTAGGTGGAGGTCTAGGGCTATCTGGTTCCGGTTGTACTGGAATAAAACCTTGATGTTCTTCGTGTATGGCTCGCAAAGGAGGCAACTCTTGAGAATATCGTTCGTGAATGGATCTTAACTGAACAAAACCCGGTGGTGTCGGGTAAGATCGCTCTCCCGAGCTGGTGTATCGCACCGAGCTCAAATCACTGAAGTACATGGGTGACCAGGGCGTCAATAACAAACCACTCGACGCAGCCGGTGAACTACTCTGAATTTTGGGCGTCTGAGGAGTGTAGACTGTCGAAATAAGTTGGAAAGGTGGATGAAATCGAGGTGAACCTAGAAAAAATCCTATGCCCCCTCCCGACTGACCGGAAGCGTCCGAACGCAGACTCAACTGACTCGGATATCCCACCAACGGTCTCCTCCAGGAGGCTCGGTTGCGGATGCCTCTTCGGCTGGGGAGGAACCCTCCGTCGTCGCTGCTGGAGGAGTTGGATGGAGTGGAGGAGCGCTGGCCGTGAGGGTCCACGAGGATGAAGCGACCGTCGGCGGCCCTGGATATGCGGGCTAGGGACTTAGATGGCGATCCGGGCTGAAGGTAGTCCGGGTGCCACGTCAGGCTGGAGAGGCTGTCCGAACGGCAACGGTCTCGCGGCCAGATCCAGTTCAAGGCGAAGGTCAGCACGCTCAGACCTGGTATTCTGCCTTTTCTAAGTCTAAATTTGAGAAAAAAATATGTTTATGAGTTTATTGAAATAGAAAGGAGGTTACTAGTTCGTTTGTTATTTGGAATGTATGGATAAGTATATTGTCTTACTACTTACTTCCTCGTTAATATTACATTTTTCAATTCAATTTTGCTATTAAGACATATTAAGTGTCCTTACAAAGAATTCATATTAACAAAAGCCTTTTTAGTGTTTTTTTCACTTTAAAATTTTCGTTTTTAATTAATATGCCGGGTGAGTCTCAAAAGTGGCTCACCACTATAACTTTTTTATTTTTTAAGTTAAAAAAGTACCTATTTAATTAAAATTTATTTGGTATGTTAGTATATGACATAAATTAGGACTGATTGACGTATTCAATTGTTTTTGGTCAGTTCCTGTTTCACCGGAAATGACTACAACTTTTGATTTTTAAATGGCACCCTCGGTATTTTTTTACTTATTATTTGATAGAAAATAACATTGTGAATAGATTGACATATCATATGTCAACTTTTGACATTTTCGCTTAATAAAAATCCTATTTTAAAATTCAATCTAGATTGCCATGGCTATGTTAAAAACACTAATTCTTAATCAAGGAGCTTTGGAAAAATAGATTTGATGGTCTTGATGGTGTCCTGGCCAGTTAAAAAATGCTCAAATCGTATTTTTAATCCTATCTCAATTTTTCAAAGGGAACGAGGGTGGCTCATTAGTATATTTGGAAAAAACATATTTTTACGAATAAATTGATACCACACACTCGGTATTTTGAGTCAAATTCGTTAAGAACCGCAAGTTATAATTTCAAATAAACCATATGCGAAAATGTCAAAGAGTGTTATTTTCTATCGAAAAAAAAACCGAGGGTGCCATTTAAAAATCAAAAGTTGTAGTAATTTCCGGTGAAACAGGAAGTGACCGAAAACAATTGAATACGTCAATCAATCCTAATTTATGTCATATACTAACATACCAAAACTCGTTATTTTATCTGAAAAAAATAAAAAGTTATAGGGGTGAGTCACTTTTGAGACGCACCCGGTATTTTTAAATATGAAAAGTAAGGGGAAAAACCAACGATGTCACAAAACCGACTAACGGAGAAAACAATGATTTAACATTGCCAAATACCAATTAAAGATACACAAATGTATTACTGTATGCGTTATTATTTGGACATCGTTTATTATATTCAATTACCATTTAACATGTACCGTATGATCGAGAAAAAACGGCGTCCAGTTGGCTGGGAAATGAAGATCGCTGTCATTTTATATGTAAATTGATATGGGAAATGTCATCGATCGTCATTTCCCAGCCAACTGGATGCCATTTTTTTTCGATCATACGGTATTTGGGTTTAGTATTCTCAATAAATTGAGTTGATTACGTAAAAATTCTAGTAAGATGTCGAACTAGTAACTTATTTTAATAAGATAAATAAATTAATCATGCAAAATAATACTATTCATGCCAGTCAGTTAATAATAAAAACATAACTACAAAATAAAACAATCATTTGCTAAACAAATTGCTTTTTAAACATTTCAGAGACTACCAGAAAACATCGCAATAACATCTAATTTCCAAAAATCATTCTTAGAAGTATTGTAGTGCCTTTGTCGCAAAAAGGATTTAGGTATATTTTCATCTGTTTGTATTATAGTTAACCATAAAATTTCTACCAGTTACTGCGAAAATTTTCGAAACATCTGGGATCAAAAGGAAACATCGGTCCATTTACTGATTTGACACCGTCTTTAAAATTACCATTAAGTTACTTACTTATAAAAAAGTTAAAACAAAAAGAACGAATTTAGTCCTAATATTAAAACTTAGCAGTCTGTATTTTTATTACCCACATTAAAAATTTAAATTTCGTACGATAAAGCAATTACATTCTTGCATCGTTAACTTTAAATTCAAGTTTTGAATAATTCTACAATAAAAAGTTTTTCCTATGCCATTTCGTAAACGGCACATAGCCTTTATTTCCATAATAAAAGCAGTTTTGATATTTTCCGGATGAGGCATTTCTAATAGACTTGCTTTAGTGCTTTGAAATATCTTTATTTATACAGGGTGGTTCGAACTGTAATCCGGAAACTTTAGCAGCATATTCTGCAGGTAAAAATAAGTAAAAAAGTTCGTATAAATGTATGCCCTATGGGCGTAGACGTTTCAATTTTATTTCGATTTTTTCCAAATAATTTCTGAAGTAACGTCAATATTTGGATAAAAATTGGCGTCTGGGAGTTTTTTGACATGAGAAATTTGATTTTGATGTCAATATGACTTCTAGTTGTAGAGGGCGCCACCTACATATTTTTTAACTGGTTTGAAGAGTAATAAGTTTTCGTCCGTACCTGTATAAAACTAGTGAGTTAAAAATTATACATTTACCACATTTTTTAAATAAAAAAGATTTCTTTAAATAGTTATTAGACTGAAATCATAAATTTGAAATATTTTTGTGCCAAAAATTCAACTGTTTTATCATCGTTTTTTTCGAAGAAAAATTTATGATTACTTTAAAGAAATAAAAAGTTCCCAAATTTCTCATTTCAGACAAATAATTTGACATTTTAAACATTTATAAATGTTTATTTTAAACAATAAGACTGACAATATTATTTGTATAATGTTTTGTATTATCTTTTGTTTGTTTGTTTGTGTACCTTGTTAGTTTACTTTGTTTGTTTAGTTTAGCTTTGTCTACAAATTGAAAATTTTTTGACAATAAAGGCATTTATTTATTTACTTATTTTATTTATTTATAACTATCTGCTCAACATGTTTATCTTTAGTCAATAATGACATGTATTGACTATTTCCATTCTAAATATCTTGAGAACGGTTCCTCGTAGATATTTTTACCAAGAGCCATTTTTTACGTAGAATATCACAGAGATGTATATTTTTTAACTCAGTAGTTTTATACAGGTATCGACAAAAAGTTATTACTCTTCAAAACAGTTAAAATACACGTAGGTGGCGCCCCCTACAAATAGGAGTCACATTGACATCAAAATCAAATTTCTCACGTCAAAAAACCCCCAGACACCAATTTTCATCCAAATATTGACGTTACTTCAGATATTATTTGGAAAAAATTGAAATAAAAAAAAACTTCTACACCTTGTATCTCGGAAACTAAGCATTTTAGGACATACATTTATATGAACTTTTTTACTTATTTTTATCAGTGAAATATGCTGCCGGAATTTAGTTCGGTCCACCCTTACGTAGGCCACAAAAATTCTTCTAATAAAATGGCATTATATTTTTATGTAGATTATTCTATTCAAGATATATTTTTGCAGTTCTTTAGTTATAAGTCTTTTGTAATATCAACGATTAACATGCTAAATTATTAAAATAAATGACATTTCTAAGCCTAATATGACTGCAATTATTTAATTAAAAAATGCTTGAAAATCTTATTGAAAATATCAAATCAGTAAAAAGTAGGAGAGGATTTTAACACTCATAGAACATAATTAGACTTTAGAAACTAAAATACTCGATATTTTAGTTTAAAAATCTAATTTCTAAATGAGAATTTCTTGAAATATCTACGAAGATGCATTATTTATAGTCTAAGAGCTAGCAACGTTTTCGAGAAAGTATTTTAAGAAAGCTGGCTCTTTGATATATCTTTTACTATGGAACAGCATGCGGCCCGTCTGGCTGCCGATACCCGTTGCGTTTACTACTGCGCATCGGAAGAAGATCCTATTTTTTTTTAATTTAGTCCTATAAATTCCAGTATTGAATACAAATCGAACATGCGCAGTGCGTAGAGTTTCCGATTACGAACCGAGGATTCAGAGTTCGAATCCGGGTCAGGGCAATGACCTTTTTATTTTATTTTCGTTTATATTCTGATAGTAAAGTATTAAATATTTCTGGTGATTCAAAAAAAAAACAAATATTCAATACCTTACTATCAGAATATAAACGAAAATAAAATAAAAAAGTTTTTGCACTGACCCGGATTCGAACTCTGACTCCTCGCTTGATAGGCGGATCCTCTACGCGCTGAGCTATGGAAACTCGGTCGGTTTATATTCAATACTAGAATTTAAAGGACTAATAAAAATATAGGATCTTCTTTCAATGCGCAGTAGGGAACGCAACGCTTACCGGCAGCCAGACAGACCGCATGCTGTTCTAGAGAGCATAGTAAAAGATATATCAAAGAGCCAGACGCCTTAAAATACTTATTTTTCCGACATTGCTAGCTTTCGTACTATTACGTATTTAAACATCAGATAAATAATAACGGGCAAATGCTAGGTTGTCACTTATTTATTAAAAATTAACTTACAGTTATTTTACTTAGAAAATTTAAATAAAAAAAATGTATTAAATTTTCAAGACCACTGAATTTTTTCGTTCCTCTAAACTTAATCTACTACCTATGTTGCCATATTATCAAGACATAATGGTTTATACCTAAAAATTTACCAATTTTCTTGTCGAAAATTTTCAAATTTTTTTTGCAAAAAAAACTCGTATACGTGTTCCTAAGTATCGAAATATACCATCCCTAAAAATATGTGTACTTATTTAACAATCGCCCTGTAAAGTATCATAAGTTAGTTTTAATTTTTTTTAATATTTAATGGCTGTAAATTTATCTTAAAACACATCTTCGTAGAAAGTTCAAAAATGTCATAAATAAAAATAGTTTTAAAAAAGCGTGTACCCTTGAGAATTCTGATTTACATTTCTGTTATACATATACAGGGTGGTCCGAATTGTATACGGGAAACTTCGGCAATGTATTCTACAGATTAAAAATAAGTAAAAAAAGTTCGTATAAATGTTTGTTATTTTTATTTTAGGTTTGGGTGTTTTTTGACATGAGAAATTCGATTTTGATATCAGTATGACTCCTACTTGTAGCGGGCACCGCCTATATATTTTAGGAAACGCTTGCTACGGAGAACCCTTTAAAAACATATGGATTCGAAATAATCAAAGCATGTCATTATTGACAATAATAAACATGTGAGAGGGAGACACTTGATAGCTGTTATTTGACTGAAATTATAAATTTGGAAACATTTGATTTTTTACGTCAATCACGATTTTTTAAACAACATGTTTATTATTTTGTTAATGATAACATGTATTGATTATTTCCATTCCTAATATCTTAAAAACGGTTTCCCGTAACAATTTTTACCAAGAGATCTTAATTTTACGTAAAAAATGGCGAAAAAGTATAATTTTTATCTCACTATACAGTAGTATACAGGTATAATAGAGGGACGGACTAAATGTTATTACTTTTCAGAACAGTTAAAAAACATGTAGGTGCCGCGGCGCCCCCTACAAGTAAGTGCCATACTAGCACCTATAGGTCTGTTCTCAGAAGAATCTCTGACTAGACAGCGCGTTTCTTATTGGTTGAAATGCGTAGAAACCTGACTAAAAATCAGGTTTCTACGCATTTCAATGAGAAACGTGCTGACTAGTCAGGGATTCTTCTGGGAACAGACCTTATATCGATTTCATCAAGTAAAAAAATACTCCCAAACACCAATTTTCATCCAAGTATTTAGGTTAGTTTAGAAATCATTTGGAAAAGAAAGTAAATAAAATGAATTTTTTAAACCCTGTGTCTCCGAAACGATGCATTTCAAGACATAAGTTTATACAAACTTTTTTACTTATTTTATCTGCGCAATATATTGCAGAAGTATCCCGAATTCAATTCGGATTCGGACCACCCTGTATAGTTAGTAAATGTAAATCTGCCCGCATACAAAGCAAAGGAAAAATATTAAAATTGCTTTTAGTAAATTCAAAAATAACTTCAAGGCTGCACGCAAATACACTTCGAAAAGGGCTGGCCTATAATAATTCAGGACTCGATTTTAGAGGGAGGCAATGAAAATAACAACGATATCGAGAAAAGTTACCATAACGAGGTGCCTGATCAAAATTCATAATCAAACAAAAAACAGTGCAAGAATCAAATAGAAATAGAGCTAATACATGTGCTGACGTGAGTGCTTGGCGGTTCAGTGGCGTCCGGGGTGCATTCCATCACCTTTTTTCCTCCTGCGCAGGTCCGTAGAGCGGCGGCAAGGAACACACGAGAGAGGGATCAGAAACTGACGGTCAGAGGCAGAACAACACGCGTTTAGTTGCAGTGATGACGTCGGAAAGGACTTCCGAGACGGGGTAAAATCGGGACTTAGGATGGGTTAATATCAGGGAAAAAACTTATAAAGGCTATATTCAATTCACTTATTATTCAGTTAATTTGAAACAATTAACCAAGTTACTTAATCAGACTGACAGGGTTAAAGACTGAGATTCTTAATTTCAGTTTTTTGATAACTTGACTGATATTGTTAATTAGACTGATTTTATTAGTTTGACTTACTTTGTTAAGTCACATACACTTAATTTGACTTACTTTGTTAATTTCAATAGTCATTGAAATCGATTTAATAATAATATAATAAATATCGATTTAAATAGCTAACTTGAAACAATAATTGATCAAATGGATCGATTTGATTAACTTGGTTAATCCGACTGACCGGGTTAAAGAGGTTGAGATTCTTAATTTCAACGTTTCTGATAATTTGACTGAATTGTTAATTTGACTGATTTTATTATTTTGACTTACTTTGTCAAGTCATATAGACTTAATTTGACTTACTTTGATAATTTCAATAGTCATTGAAATCGATTAAATATCGATTATATCGGAAATATCGATTTCAGTAGCTAATTTGAAACAATTGATCAAATGGGTCGATTTGATCAACTTGGTTAATCAGACTGACCGGCTTAAAGAGACTGAGATTCTTTATTTCAGTGTTTATGATAATTTGACTGATTTTATTAGTTGGACTTACTTTGTTAAATCATATACAGTTAATTTGACTTACTTTGTTAATTTCAATAGTCATTGAAATCGATTAAATATCGTTTATATCGGAAATATCGATTTCCGATATAAATATCCACCAATATCACCAATAACTTGGGTGATATTGTTAGTTTGACTGATTTTATTAGTTTGACTTACTTTGTTAAGTCATATACACTTAATTTGACTTACCGTAAAATGGGGGGAATAGAAACATAGTGGCGAATAGAAACAAAATTTCTGAAAAAAATCAAATCACGATTAAAAATATTCAAAGTAAAAAGAGTCGACATATCTAATTTTTCTATCATTGGTAATACACAATAAAATGTAAAAACTATATTTTTATCTGTGCCAGCACTGTTTCTGTCAATCAGCTGATTAATAAATGTGAGATCGATTTATCACCTATTTTGTATGGCGCGAAAACTTTATAAATAAAATATTTATTTTTAAAGTAATACATAAGCTGGTACATGTAAGTTGTTATATTATATGTATTGTTAATTATTGTTAAACCTACTTAAATATGTAATAATTTCCTGTTTCTAATCACTTTGTTGAAAATAGAATAGATAAAAACCTTAACATCAATGTGTGTTTCTATTCTCCCGAATAGCAGGTGAATAGAAACACAAATGTTATTTTTATTTAATGTTTATACGCATATTTTTCAAAAATCAAATTACATATATACGCAAAGAACAAACAAAGACCCATGTTTTAAAATATTCAGGAAAGTAATACCAAATTTTTATCAACAGGTATATCGCTAATAGCCTACAAAACTGTTTCTATTCACCCCATTTTACGGTACTTTGTTAATTTCAATACTCACTGAAATCGATTAAGTATCGATTATGTCGGAAATATTGATTTCACTAGCTAATTCAGTTAATTTGAAACAACTTATCAAATGAATCGATTTGATTAACTTAGTTAATCAGACTGACTGGGTTAAAGAGATTGAGAGTCTTAAATTTCAGTGCTTTTGATAACTTGACCGATTTTATTAGTTTGACTTGCTTTGTTAAGTCATATATACTTAATTTGAATTACTTTGATTTCAATGACTATATCGATTTCACTAGCTTTATTATTTTTTTTTTGTTAACCCTAGGACGTGGTTAATGAAACTTTGCTAATTTGAACTATTTTTTTAATATGATTGTCTTTACATATTAACTGAGTGATTTGTTTATCCTTGATAAATTTGCTTTGTTAATTTAATTGATTTTTATTAATTTGGCCCTTTATAAATGTGACTAATTTTCTTAATTTGAATTAATTGGTTGACTAACTTTTTTAATTTCACTATCTTTGTTAGTTTTACTACCTTTTTACTTGGTCGACATTTGATTTGGCTAATTCATTTAATGTGACTTCGTGAACATGAATAATTTTGTTAATTTGACTGTCTTTAGTTAGAAATAAATTTGTTATTTTGACTGGCCTTATTAATTTGACTAATTTTATTAATCTAACCTAGACCATTTGTGTAACTTAAGCAAAATTAGACCAACTGTGTTAATTTCAATAATTTATTTAATTTGACTTAGTTAATTTGACTAGTGAGGTTAATTTAACTGATTTTGTTAAATTAATTAGTTTGGTACCTAAGTAAAATAAGTAATAAGTAAATTGACTGAGTTTGTTAATTTGACTGATTTCGTTGATTTCACTTGGTTTATGAAGTTGCGACTGATGGTTAATTTTACTAATTTTTAAAATTTGGTAATTTTACTTTGTTAATTTGACATATTATGCCGGATATAAAAAGTTATTTTAATAACCATAAATGTAGCTGATCACAATTAACATAAAATAAATAAAATTGTTTTTTTTAATTTTATAAAAGAATTAAAATAATAGACATAAATAACTGTCATTGTCGGTAAATTAGTTTCAAAATTGAAAATTAATATTAAAAAATTAATTTAAATCTTTAAAGATGTCGCTTTAAAGTGTATAACGAAATGTCAGCTTCAACATAAAATCAAATTGTCCTATTTTAAATTAATGTATAGAACGTAAATGTTTCCAATTTCAATATCCATCAATATTACAAAATTTATAGTGATTTTTTAAATATAGCCTTTATAAATATATGATATGAAATAATGAATACTTAATCGGTGAAATGACAACATTTAAGAAAAAAAATGTAGGTATAGTTTGTTTTTATAATTAATGTAAATCCTGGAAAGCATAAATTGCTTTTTAATTTAATAAGATGCTAAATTAAAAATCCACTGAAATAAAAAAAGATACGTTTGAGACTTAGTCCAAAATTAAAAACTTTTTAAATTAGAATCTTTTACAAATTATCTTCTTATGAACAGTGTTATCTACGATATTCTAATAAGATTCGAAAACTTTTAAAACTCTTAAAGAGTTTCCTTAATATTTTTGAGCTTTTTGCTACTTTTTAACAAAACAAACTTCCTTGTATTTTTCTTAAAAGGTCTATAACACCCTTGCTCCAATAAGTACATAAAACACGAGACAACAAAGGAAAGAAAAAGAAGGTTTATGATCATCGCGTAATAAAATTAATCAATCGACAGAAATGAATAGAACTAATGCACAGAACACATAGTATACGAGCCCTAAGGCCCTATATCTATATACATTCCAGGAACAAATGAAGCACACCAAAGTTACAGAATATCAATCAGATTCAACCGGCATTTCCTTAGACGAAATATACTAAAAAATACAACACGCCACCAAAATAACAATGGAAATCTTGACAGCCTGAAAAATATAATTTTTGTCAAAAAATAGCTTTGTTTACAGATAGCTGCATTTCGAGTATGGTTGGTAAACGTCGATTCGGCGCTCGAATTGGGCTGAGACCAATAGAGAGTCTCAGTCGTTACGTCAGGTCAAAGGGCGGAGCTTAACAACCTTTTCAAACAATGTGGTCTTCCATTTTCAGTGAGCAAATAGGAGTTTTAATGTTTTTATTTGAATATAACTTGTGCCACTGAAGGAGGTTTTGATATAATATAAATTTGATAAAAGTAAGTTTATTACATAGAGCTAAATGTATGATTTTGTACCTACCTCAGCATCCTTGAGGCGGAAATCTATGCTATCGAAAGATGCGTACAATTTCTCTTAGATAGGAACTATCAAAGACAGGAAATAGCCTTCTTATCCGATAGTCAAGCAGCACTAAAAGCGATCAATTTAGCAAACATCAATTCAAAGTTGGTCAAAGAATGCCTAGAGAAGCTGAACAAATTAGGCAAAGAAAATAAAGTCCTACTCTGGGGTGCTCGTTCACCAAGGGATAGAAGACAATGAAAAAGTAAACGATCTAGCTAGAAAAGGAGCAAACACTCCACTAACTGGACCAGAATCGTTCTGCTATCCAAAGGGTAACCAACTTAAAGCTGAACTCAAGAACCTGGAAGACTCCATCCAAAACCTTATATGGGAATCCCCCAACAGTCTCAGATACTGGAAAAAGTTCCTCAGAACTTATGACCCAGAAAAATCAAAGATTTTCCTTGATTTGAGTAAGAACAATCTTCGGATTGTCACAAGGTTTCTAATAACAAGGTCTCCTCAACGAACATCTCAGTAGATTCAAGCTGAGAAAAAACGGCGAATGCAGATTCTGTAGGGAAAATGGGGAAACACCAGAACACCTTATCACTGAGTACGCCAAGACGACAACTGTCCGCGCAATAAACTTTGGTAAGGCTGATATCGGAGATGGAGAGCTGGCCTCTGTGGGGCCACCTTAGATACTGGCTTTTGTCAAGGCTCTGAGACTGTATGATGAGTTATAACTCGTTATAACTACATTCTACATGATTTTTATTGTGACCAAAAAAAGATAAACTAACCGTTTATTGAATTTTACCTGCATTTATGGCTTTGTTTGAAAATATTTTAAAGTTCCGCCCTGTGCCGTGACGTCAGTCTTTTAGACTAGTGCACTCTAAAAAAACAGCAGTCTATTATGTATGACTTGTGGCAGTTTTAAATCAGGTGTGCTGTATCTATTATATATTTAAACTGAGGGTTGCAAACCGTAATAAAAGCTAGAAAAACGAATGAAATTAATTGATATTTTATAACTCTACGTATCACTAAAAAAATCTCGCTATGAATTGCGATAACTTATTAAAGAGTTGTTTGATCGTTGAATTTTTAAAGTTTAAACGTTATTTCCGGCTTAGGTAAGAGGGAAAAGAAAGTGGCGTTATCGCAGACAATAACGAGACCTGTCAATCTGGAGCTTACGGTTCGTGTCAACGCTTGTCCCAGGAATTATAAACACGCTCTCGTAATCACGGTAAGACTCGGACTCAACCGTCCTACAATTAAAAATCATTTATATGGTTCGGAAGAAAGGACAAATCAAATGAACTTATCCCAGCCGAATAATCAATATTTATCGCTTGTTTTAATAGATTTATCAATGTTTGAGTTTGTTTGAAACTGCTAGACAATGATGAATTATGAAACAAAATATCTTATTGAACTTATATTCTCTGTAATTCTAAAACTTACGTAACGTTTCGGTAAGGTGTATCACTGACCGTAATCCTTGCCAGTTATACTGATATCGCTGATAGTTATCAATCTAATTCCTAAAATATCTGAGTTTAATATAGTCTGTTTCAAAAAGCCTGATAGCATCGAGAAGGCCTGGTGCCATAAAACATCATCAATAACAATCAGCCGACTTTTTTATTGAAGTGAAACTTCTTTACGCACGTCGGGAGTAAAAATTCAAGTGAGTCACGGCCTTGACGCGTGAGCTAGCGAGAGGAAGAGTGATAGTGGCAGTGTTGCCACAGCTACTCCATTCGGGATCTACCCCTTTGTAAAACAATTTAATCCCGCTATCTCGTGATAATATATCCGATGAAAATAAGCTTGTGGCAACACTGGGTAACGATCTGTGCCATGCGCGGCTAAGAAAATCACTATAATAAACTTGATACTGTACCAACCTTGATTAATTGAGTAAATTTTCATGCATATTTTCATCGATAGGTTTGTAACTTCTGAATAACGGTCTAGGTAAAGTCTAAGCATCTAGCTCATTTGTCAGCTCAAAATTAGAATTTAGAGTTAGTAACTCGCATTTTCATTGGAGGACACTGTCATACTTATTTCAAACCAATAATCAACGAGAATATTCCTATAATTTAATAAAATTACTGTAAATCACTATTATAAATCATAAATTATTTGTAATTGAGCTGTAATTTCTGTATTATTAACCCGGTAAATGATGGAGATAAACAATTGTGATTGAAAAGTTTATTTTTAAGATGAAACTTTTGTTAACAACATTTTGGAATTCGAATAATGAATTGAATAATGACAAGTGACATCTGTCTAAAAAAGACAGCGATTTAGAGTGACAATTTTTATTATGCAAAATCGTCTTATGGAGTTTGCTGGTGGTCGTATTATGATGTGCAACCAAAGTTATTTTAATTTCCTTATATATAGTAGGGTTCGTACAGAAGGACTACTGCAATTTGAATCTAAATCCACCAAGGATTATCATGAAGAAATGACGGCGGATGTTTTTGAAGATTGTTTTTCCCAAATGATGACATTACTTCCAGAAAACTCTGTCATTGTTATAGAGCAATGTATTTATCCGTGGCGGAAGTAGACGCAGTTAGTCTGGGTTTACATGACAATCACAGAATCACAGAATCACACAATCCATATTCTGTGATTTTGACAGCTTAAACTTAAATATCATTAGGGCAGCGGCCTAGCTACGTCGAAACACCAGTTCCCATTAGAACACCGAAGTTAAGCGACGTAAGGCGATACTAGTGGATGGACGGGTGACCGGTTCGAAACTCTGTATCGTGCTGTTGCCCCAAAAAAGGCAAAAGTGTAAAATCTATTCACACACACTGCTCATTCACGCCGGTTCGAGGCCGGATGAGATCGGATATCTCGTGAGTAAGAGTCGATTTAGACACTTGCCAAGTCGGTAGGCCATTGACCATGATATGGCCGGGGACCGCGGTTCGGATTCCGCGTAAACAAAGTAGGCCCCGTCCAGATTAGCCCTGGCAGCAAAAAAGAGACGTTAACTGAAATCTTTACTTTACTTTTACTTTAAATATCATTAGGGTGACGAAACGACCGACGACGCATTACGGATGCATTTTTGGAATCAGCTTAAATGAGATGAGAGTGAGAGTTAATGAGATGAGAGTGAGAGTTAATGAGAGTGAGAGTCTCTCTCTCAGTCTCTCTCTCTCTCTCTCTCTTCCTCAATAGATCATATCACGGATCATATCAAGAAGTATCAAGTCAAATTAAACTGAAGTAAAAAACTTCATAACGGACTGTGATATATTTGACCGAAACGTTGTGTAAGCTAAATAAATAAAGACAACAAAAAACCGACATCCTCTTAGTATTAATATGAAGGTCTAGCATGAGATAAATCAAAAGGGTAATATAAATTTGAAAAATATGTACTCCTATATGCCTTTTATACCTACGTAATACAATTTATAAGCACTTTATAGTTTGCTTTAAGACAAAGTATTTCAAAGTTCGCCCTTCTCATATTTAAATCAAATAAAATGTCTAAAAATAGAAACTTCTAGAGACAAGACCACTCAACTAAATAAGGAATGAAGTTCTTGAAATACTTAATAAATTTGTCTTTTACTTCTTCGGTAAATAATGTCAATGTCAAACTGCCTTCCGTTCTCGACAAAATCAAATTATTTCGAATTTTTCAAAGAGATTTCTCTATTTTAACAAAAGAGGAAATACTAATTTTATTTTAATTTGCTATATTTCCGTTAATAAAAGGCAAAATGGCTAGGGTAAATAATAAAATAAATAAAATCAACGATTGCTGCGCTAACAAACGAAATAAAATATTTATTAAGGCACATGTCAATGTTTGTTTATTAATTAAGTATACGGTTAGAGATATTCAGGGTGTTCCACTATTCCGTGGACATAGAATTACTACGTATTTTTGGAATCAAAATAGCTGGAGGGCATCAAACATTAAAAAAAAATATATTTTAAGAACCGTTATACCGATTTGAATGATATTTTGGGTGTTTATGTTTTGCTAAGTGCTCTAAAATTTGACTTTCACAGAATTGAAGAAAAAGTACGGGAAGGGTGAAAACAAAAAAAAAAGGGTGATTTTCTTTTCGTAAAATGGTCCCTCTAGTATTTACTACATTTTTTGTCTCTCGTAAAAAAAAACACCGTGCATACTTTTTGAGGAAAGAAATTATTATTCCAATGCTTGACTTTCAAAAAATGTTTTTTGTCAATCAATATATCAAGATATGGAGGCACATAAAATGTATTATGCTCTAATAATCTAGTTGGTAAAAATATGGAATTTTATGTTAGGAGGTATAAATTACATTTGACGACAAACATCATAAAACGCTAAAAAAATTAATAATTATTAAATGAATTACCGTTCTGATTTATCTTTAATTCATGCCATCTAACGGACAAACGAAGCACTTTTTATAAAGGTAAATTATGTTCAATTAACTTATTTTGATCCAACAATATGTTGTAGTTGTTCTATGTCCACGGTATACAGGGTGGCCCATCGAAAACGTTCCGCAAGGCATAACGGCTAGGGTATTTTTTTTTCAAAAAATCCAAAAACACGTCAATTTTGTTTGTGAGGGGGACAACTTTTGCCCCAAAAATTATTGCAAAATTTGCAACCCTCTAAGCAGGGGTGTCATTCCCCAATTTTTTTCAAATGGGAAGGGGGGTCAAGTGGTACCGCAATGAAAAGGGCTTTCTATTCTCTATACTTTCCCGCTTCGTTTTTGAAAATCGGTGGAGTCATTGAGAAAATATGAAGGATTGAAATTTGAAAAGTTTATTTAAACATTTATCAGAGTAAATGATAAGGATAAATTCCTTCGACCAATTTGCTGTTTTTTCTTATTATTTCTAGATGTTTACGCATTTTTTCACTTGCCACAAGGTTGAACGATCAGGTGCGGTAGTTGCTAGATAGCTGTTCTGTGACTTTTGCGTTGAAGTTCTTTTCAACTTACAGAAAAAGTGGAAATAATCGAACTTTATTTTAAAAATAAACTTTATTTTACTTTATTTTTAAACGCCCTCGTTGAGTTCTTGTACCAACTGAATTTTGTACGGTGGGACTTGTGTTTTTTTTAATATCCTTTGGACGCTTGTACGATTCACGCCGGTCTCATTGGCTAATTTTCTTGTACTCAGCGTACTATCTATGACAACTTGACCCAATACGAATACCTCCATAGCTTCATTTACTACAGGATTTTCTCTCCGCCTCTTTTTATTCATAACTGAACCAGTTTCGCGAAATTTTGCTACTAACTCGCGAACAATTTTGCCATAAAGGTCTTTGTCAGGATGGCGTTCATTGAATATCTGCGCAAACCGATTGCCACATTCATTATTTTTAAAATAAAATTCGATTATCTCCACTTTTTCTGCAAGTGACTACACCATAATTGTTAAAAAGTTTAACGATATTGAGAAGAACTTCAACGCACAAGTCAAGGAACAGCTACCTAGCAACTATACCGCACCTGATCGTTCAACCTTGTGGCAAGTGAAAAAATGCGTAAACGTCTAAAAATAATAAGAAAAAACAGCAAATTGGTCGAAGGAATTTATCCGTATCATTTACTCTGATAAATGTTTAAATAAACTTTTCAAATTTCAATCCTTCATATTTTCTCAATGCTTGGACCGATTTTCAAAAACGAGGCGGGGAAATATAGAGAATAGAAAGCCCTTTTCATTGCGGTACCACTTGACCCTCCTTCCCATTTGAAAAAAATTGGGGGATGACACCCCCGTTTAGAGGGTTGAAGATTTTGCAATCATTTTTGGGACAAAAGTTGTCCCCCTCACAAACAAAATTGACGTGTTTTTGAATTTTCTGAAAAAAAAATTACCCTGGCCGTTATGCCTTGCGGAACGTTTTCGATGGGCCACCCTGTATGGAGACACCCTGTATATATGTCGGGTGCGACTCAAAAGTGGCTCACCTATAGCTTTTTTATTTATTTCAGATAAAAAAAACGAAATTTGGTATGTTAGTATATGATGCTATATATGGGATACAAACCTCGGAATTCATTTACTGTGAACGAATTTTTATAAAATTTTCTGGCATTGTATTGTTAATAAAATATATTACAAAGTTTACCCATTTAAATTCGTTGCTTTCACTTTAGTATTTAAATAAAGACACATATACAAATGTATACATACAAGATGGCTCCGTGTTCCGAAAAAGCTCTGTATCAGGATTCCTATTTGAGATTTTCACTCCAAACCTTTTACAAAATATGTGTTTAATGGTAGTTCACATTTCAAAAATATTTTTATAGATATACAGGGTGAGTCAAATATATTTTTACACTTAAGTTTTAGTTTTTTCAAAAATGCCTTAATATCATAGAGTATACTGAGTGGTTTTTGCATTATGACCAGATCCATGAGGACGTCAATCTAGACGTCCAGGAACCTTCGCATGAGAACTTCTAATCGAGACGATCGACTTATTGTAAGTTTATTGCTAAGAAATCGCCGCCGGTTGGCAGATTTTCAAATTTATAATGAATTGCACCTAAGGAACGTACGTATTAACTTAACAGACTCTAAAGCGGCCCTCACACGATCAATAATATTGTCAATGTTTTTTATTGTCAATATTTTATCAATATTTGAAAGTTGGCCTGACACGGTCAATACATATATCAATATTAAGTTTTGTGCAGATATTAAGTGTGAATTATACCCTATGCCATAAAATTAAAGATAAAAAAAGCGTGTCATTTTAGCAGTGAGTGTCAGTCAGTGAGAAAAAATATGGAAAAAATAAAGGAAAAAATTAAAGAAAAGACGTTATATAAAAAATGGATATCCAAAAAGAAAAAGGTTCGGCCAACTAAATCTTCTAAAGTACGTTAAGAAACGGGAGCCTGATGATTGCGATCTAAAACTGGTGAAAACAACGACGGCGATGTTCCGTCTTCCGCCATGGTTACGAATAAACTAGTCAAATTTTGTCAACCATGCTAGCTAACGATCAATATATTGTCAATACGACTAGCTCCGCCTTTAATATTGTCGAGTATTTTCAGGATCTCGAAAATCCATCAATATATTGAAAGTACATCAATATGTACGCTCAAACGCTCAATAATATTGTCAATAATCCAAAATATTGACAATATTATTGATCGTGTGAGGGCCGCTTAAGAAGAAGACTAAATGAAGCAAATCTTATGTTAAGAATGCCTGCTTCGGGACCAGAACTTACTAGGTCTGTTGACTAGGACCAAAAGCAAAGGCATGGTCTTAATGTAAAAATCACGAAAACATGTTAGTGTCTTATTCAAAAGCGAATATCTCCATCAAAAATAAAGCTATTGAGGTGAACCAAAAAACAAACTATCGAGAAAGGATGTATCTGGATGATAAAATGATTTTTAGATTTCAAGTTGTTCTAACATATTCCACAGGGCGTTTCAAACTTTCACCAAAATATCAACGTTTCGTTTTCCCTCGTATAATTAACAGATGAGGAGTTTCATTTTTAATTTAGAAAGAGATACTAAAAAGTCAAATAATTTGGCTACATACTGCTTAAAAAATCATCAAAATCGGCCAACTAGAATAAAATATATTAAACTTTAAAATACATCAAAGTTTTAAGGTGTCCATTTTTCGTGCTGATGAATGTATTTCAAAAACTATACATTTTAGTCATATACTTTTCTAATGAAACTCGCCTTTATTTTTTACTAGAATCCTAAGATCAATTAATATATAGAGTGTTCCATTACAAAAAACACAACTTTGATGTGTAACTTTTTTTGGGGACACCCTGTAGAACTCAATATCATTTTATAAAATGCTTTAAATTGACTTACATAAGCTCACAAAATTTCACTTCAATACAATCTTTTGTTCTCCTTGCAAAAACCGCATCGTATATGACGCGCCACCCTGTATAATTCGATCTCAATCAAAATTTCAATGATTAAAATATTAATAGAATAGGTATAGCTTATGAATTAGATTCATTTATTTCAGTAAATTTACTTAGAAAAAAAAATTTAAAAAATCAAAAAATTAAGAAGGAAATAACTAAGAATTTACTAAAATTACAAAAATAAAAAAATAAAAGCAACGAAAAAAAATGGGTAAACATTTTAGTATTTTATCTATAAAACACCATACAGAAGGTTTCACATTAATACATTGACAGTAATTGAATTCCGAGGTAAAAGTCTCTGGGCACTCCACTATACGTCAATCAATCCTAATTTATGTCACATACTAACATACTAACAAACCAAGTCTGAATCTGAAAGACTGTTATCTGAAAAAATAAAAAAGTTATAGGCTGTGTGCAATTTTTAAGACGCACCCGGTATACTAAGTAAGTAATTGGTTAGCTATGTACATATTATATTAATGAGACAATTATTTATTATTAAAAGTTGTCTAGAAAAATGTTCATAAACAATAGAGAAAACAGTATTAGTAAAATTACAAAAATATTCGGCTGGGATATGTTTTGATGACATTTAGTTAATAAAGCGTACAAAAACTGTTGAGGTTATAGGGTTACCAGTATTTGGTTAGTACAAGGGATCATAATATACAGCTGATAGCGATACTAATATACTGTGTGATAGAAACAACTTACTTTTTTAAAGGCACTTGGCTGTCGGTGGCTCCACCCCCATTCCTGGCATCCGAGATTCTACACGCTACCATGTTGTAGGCTGTAAAAATGGATTTGTTTTAAATTTAAATAGAGTCAGTTAAATAAAAACGTTGGTAGGTACTTTCAAAACGGTGACTGAGTCGTGGATGCTGCTGCAAAGTGCGCAAATATTCTCGTGCATAGCTGTATCGTTTTGTGTTTTAAATTATTTAGATTAATCGAAAAAAGTTTTTTGATTGAAATTAAATTAATTTACTTTAATGTAAAATGAAACGAATTGAGTAAAGATTTGACCTAAATCTTTATAAAACAAATACTAATTCAAAACAAACTTTTTAGTTTCGCATAATAAAAGGTGAATAATAGTGTGACAAATTGCGTTAAAAAAAATTATGGAGAAAATAAAAGGTGTATTTCTATCCTTTATTTAAGAATATTAAAACATAGAACAAAACACAGACTAAAACACAATTTACAGAAAATGGCATAAAATGCATATAATACTAAAAAGATATGTAAGCGATAAACTCTGTTTCGGTATATTATTTTCTAAAGCATTTTAATAGAAGAAAAGTTTTTATTACAGAATAACGAGAGTAAACGAAATGATGAAAATATAACAGAGACAAAAAAATCTACTTGAAACGAATTCCATGTAACGAGGGCTTATAATTTTAACTAAAAAAGGCTTATAATTTCTACTTACAAACCAAAGAAATTTAAATGTTAAAGAATTTTTATTTTTTTAAACCGAACTTTAGCTTAACAGTTATATAATAAATTGCACTGGCCTATATACAGGGTGGTCCGAACTGTATTCCGGAAACTTCGGCAGCATATTCTGCAGATAAAAACTTTCTCGTGTATAACCAGATATAAATGTATGTCCAAAAATGCTTAGTTTCGGAGATACAGGGTCTAGAAGTTTCAATTTTATTTCGATTTTTTCCAAATAATTTCCGAAGTAACGTCAATATTTGGATGAAAATTCGTGTCTGGAAGTTTTTTGACATGAAAAATTTGATTTTGATGTCAATATATGACACCTATTTCTAGGGGGGGGGGCACCATCTACATGTGTTTTAACTGTTTTGAAGAGTAATAACTTTTCGTCCGTACCTGTATAAAACTACCGAGTGAAAAATATACATTTTCGTGAGTTTTTATGTAAAAAAACGTCTCTTGGTAAAAATCGTTACAAGCAATCGTTCTCAAGATATTTAGAATGGAAATAGTGAATACATGTTATTATTGACAAAAAATAAAGACATTGAGTAGATAGTTATTTGACTGAAATAATAAATATGGAAATTTTTTATTTTTTTAAATTAATCATAAATATTTCTACGAAAAAAATATGATAAAACAGTTTCTGTTGAACTTTTGCCACAAAAACATTTCAAATTTATAATTTCAGTCTAATAACAGATTAGTAAACATGTTTAATTTATGTCAATGATGAGAGTTATTGATAATTTCGATTCCAAATATCTCGAGAACCATTACTCGTAGCGATTTTTACCAAGATACCTTTTTTACGTGAAAAAACTCATAAGTGTATATTTTTTTATTCAGTAGTTTTATACAGGTACGGACGAAAAATTATTACACTTCAAATTAGTTAAAAAATATGTAGGTGGCGCCTTTTACAAGTAGGAGTCATATTGACACCAAAACATAGACAAACAAATAAAAAGAGACTGGCAAAGAGAGGGACAACGTTCCCGTAGCGCAACTCAGAACGCAAAATTTGGTTCTATTTATGTTGATCTGCGCATTGCGTCTATTGGGCCCACTATCTCATTCTAATATAATAAGAGAGAAAGAAGCAGCCATATAAAACGTAATTTCTAAATAGAAATTAGAACAATCGCCTTTCGTTTTCGTCATCATGACAACCAAGATGACAACATCATGACAATTCGTAATTCGTCATGTTTGTTAATTTTTCTTTTGGTGATTTACCTTTTTTTGCTAAACTCTCCATTTTATTAACTTATGGATATGGATAGAGAACAAATTCCTTTGTTTCTGATAGGTATTTATATTTTGTTACTTATAATTTTAGGTTATACTATTTGTTATTTTATTTGCTGCAGGAGCCAGTATCATCTATTTTTTATATGTATTTGTACCCCCTTTCTCTGATAGATATGTTAAAGACACCCGGTAAAATAAAAGTAAGTATGTTATATTTATCAACCTATTAAGAAAAAAGTAGAAGTAGTAGTGTCAAAAATATTTCGAACCTCTCTTAACATAACAAATTAATGCATTTCATTTTTTGGGTAGTTTATAGATGGTTTACAGTAACCAGATAGAAACTTAATTAATATACCTATTTTACTTTTGTTTTAGGATTAAAACTGTACTTGAAAATGGTTCAGGGTCATGATTCCCGTAAAGTTTTCTTTGCTTGGATATTCACTTTGTTATTGCAATTAGGCAGTTGACAAAAAATGATGTTTAAAAAATGTAGGTACATATTTTAACTTATTTAGCAATGTGATTTAATAATCTTAAAATAAACTAATTTAAAAAAGTGCCTGAATGTCTGGGAAAATTTAGATATATAGTATGTAAAAATGCGTATTTTTTCTAAAATTACTGATATTAATTGACGGGTGGCTGCAATAACCAGGCAGCCCCACTTTTTTAGAAAATAAGATTTTTAATGCCCTTTAAAAAATTGGCCGACCGTTTCTTGCAACAGTCAGTTCTTCTGCATTTAAAATTGGTAGGTGGGTGGAATAAACACTGTTATTTTTTGTTATTATATAATAAAAATTTTATTTATTTTTATGTATAAATAAATATGTTTATAAAACAATACAATTTTTGCTTTTTAATAATTTCCCTTATAATACCTAGTAGTCTTCTTTCGTTCTGAAAGAAACTGAAAATTTTCACTTAAACTGATTTATTCCCTACCCCCCGTTCCCTTTACCTGGTATAGGGAATAAATCAGTTTAAGTAAAAATTTTCAGTTTGTTCAGAATGAAACAATACTACTAATAAGGGCTAATTTAAATTTCCCGCCAGCCAGAATGTGCAATAATGTCTTACGATACGTTTTATATTTTGAATAAGAAGACTAAGGAAGGAGCATATAAAAAATCTTAGGTAAACCGCGATGGGCCTCAAATATGGCCGACTTAAATTCCGGTTTATCAGTGTCGTTCTAATTTTATTTAAAAAATGTAAAACTATGATGTAGGGTAGACGTGGGGTAGACTCAATAATTTGTTGTTTTATTTTACGTTGTGAATCATTTGTGAAATTGGTAGTTATAAAAATTGTTATAAAAATATATAATTCTAATAAAAATAGATAAGTTATAATAAGTATTTATTACCACAAACATCCGATATGCTACTGAAGCAGGTAAGTCAAATTAACGTATCTAAATTCTTTGACATCTAATCTTTGACAAGTAATAAATAAAAGCTAAAATGCAAGAAAAATATATAATTTAGTTATTTTAAGTGAATTTCATAAATGATCGGTTTACTACACGTATGTATATTATATAGTCACTTACTAGCGAAAAGTTGTTCCATTATTTCACTCAATTTTTGCCGAGATCTACCGCACGCTACACAACCAACTATTTTAGAGTCTTTTTTGATAAACATCACTGTTAATTTAAGTGCTGCCACAATTTCCATCTAGATTTACGACCTTTATACAACTATCAGTAGTAGAATAAATAATAAATAACATAAAATAAGCTCCGTAAAGACTGACAAATCCACAAAATTTCAAATCAAATTCAAATGGGTCAAATGAATCGTCAAACAGAACTGTCAAGAATCCCCACCCTAGAGTGCTTTTATGGCGCTTTTTCCGCCCACCATGCATGAATACATGGATAGCATTATGCTCCTTCCTTAGTCTTCTTATTCAAAGGTTTTATACCTATATCTTTGTTTTTCATATCAAGCACACATAATAAAGAAAGATAGCAATAAAGACGTAAGTCCTACCATGGTCCTGCTAATTGGTTTCAAAATTGTTATTCTGAGTTGCGCTACGGGAACGCGGTCCCACTCTTTACCATGAGATTTGTCAGTCTCTTTTTATTTATTTGTCTATGCATCAAAATCAAGTTTCTCATGTTAAAAAAGTCCCAGACACCATTTTCATCTAAATATTGTAGTTACTTCAGAAATTATTTGGGAAAAATCTAAATAAAAATGAAAATTCTACACCCTGTATCTCCGCAACTAAGCATTTTAGTACATACATTTATACGAACTTTTTTACTTATTTTTTATCTGCAGAATATGCTGCCAAAGTTTCCGGAATACAATTCGGACCACCCTGTATAACCTACAACCCTAGCACACGTCGAAGAAAATATTTTCAGAAATTTCTAGATAAACCTGCAATTATAAATAGTTTTCTAAAACCAAAACCAAAAACAATTTTCTTAGAGGTTGAAAAATGTTGATGGAAAATTTCAAATATATGCACGTATTAAAGAAACACCCTGTAGTGTAAATTCTCAAAATGTAAAAGTACATGGAATTCGCCGGTAGCAAATAATACAAACAATTCAACAGTAAAATTCGTGCAATTCAAATAGAATAATCGGCATTCCAAAACTGTTCAAACGTCAAAAACGACTTTTTACTAATTTAAAGATCAAATCTATACCCAGTCGTGGATGTAGTTGAGAGTGCGATTTAACTGTTCCAAAGCTGTTCAAACGCAACGAGATGATTAAACAAGATGAAATTTAATAACTTCTATTCTAAGTTTTACCTATATCTTACGTACATTTTAGAGAGAGCTTAAATGTAAAAATAAGAAAAGAAAACAAACAGTATTAATTTAATTTTTTCATCTTCCTGTACTATAAATAGGTTACTGTAAAATATTTAAATTTCATAAAAAAATGCCGGTATTACACTGGTTGACACTTATATTGTATTTTATAAGTACAATACGATCAAAAATAGCGTGAAAGTGTTCTTTGAAATAATAATGATTGACGTACAACCTGTTAAAAATAATTTTTTGAAAAAAAGTAAAAAGTTTTCAAATATGCCTATCGTTCACACTCACACTGTTAATAGATTAAATATACAGGGTGTGTCAAAAAATATGTGCCATCTCTCGTGGGAAGATTTCTCACGTAAAAATAAGATTTATTTTGCATATCGGCATAGGCCCGATACTGCTTTGTCTCGTAGCTCTACAGGCTGTTAAAGTCTTAATATTTTTTCGATTTATTATAATTTTCATCCAAGTACTTTAGCGTTTCGAATAAAATTTTGAGGGTAAAAGTTACTATAAATGCGACATATTTTAAAGCTAAAAAAGTGTCGACATATTCACCAGGGACGTGCCTATGGGTTATCACTGGAATATTTTTCTAAAAAAAGCATGTACGCCACTGACTTCTACATTTTCTTGTTAGCGAAATAGTGTAAGCAATTTAATGCCGATTAAAAGTTGTCTCTTGATACTTTGTCGATTTCGGCTTCCTTGATGAGATAAACGCAATTTTAATAATTGGTATTGACTCAAGTCTGCAAACAACCTTTAAAAAAATTAATATCATTAACTTGTGAAAGTTTTAAATAACGACTCATTCATTGATTCCTCGTCAAAAAAGTTCACATAAACATGATATGGAAATGCATAGTTTTAGAGTTACAGGATGTTAAATTTTTTTAAAATTAGGTTTTTTGTAATTATCTTAAATACCATTGTTTTTTTATTTAAAATTGCTGTAGGTATGGACTAATAGTAATAATAACTAGTATAGTAAACGCCACGAATGTTTGGGAGTGATTCATCGGTCGCTACCATGTGAACTAATCTGTTCAAGGTTACATAAAACTTAATTCCAGTGCCGTGGTGTTTCAGGTCATATAATAATCAATATATAATCTGTTGTAATTTGTTGTTTTAACTGTCAAAGTCTGGTCAAAACATATATTTGGTTATAAATATAAAATGGAATGCCCCATTGGTCGCACTACAAGCACACCAATGGACTGACGCACAAAAACGAATCAATCAAAGAAACGCGATATAGTTTCTAACATTTTAGAATAAGTAGGAGGAGCGCAGGCAGATGATTAGACCGGGCCTTTCAAAACCTACGTCTGCGGTAAAAATTTACGTTTTTAATGTAAAAATGATAGCGCGCGTGTCGATTCTAACGTCATCAAGCGATGAATCACTCCCAAACATTCGTGGCGTTTACTTTAGTAATAATATGAGGCAAAATGAGGTAAAATATGTAATTTATTAATTTTATTTTTATTTTAATTTTATTAATTGTGATTAATAAAATTGCGTGTATCTCATCAAGGAGGCCGAATTCGACAAAATTTTAAGAGATAACTTTTAATTGGCAATAAATGGCCTACTCTATTTTGATCTCAAAGGAAAAAAAAATCAGTGGCGCACATGTTTTTTTTTGAAAAATATTCCAGTGATAACTCATATATGCACGTCCCTGATGAATTTATCGACACTTTTTTAGCATTAAAATACGCAGCACTATAGTAACTTTTACCCTCAAAATTTCATTCGAATCGCTAAAAGTACTTGGAAGAAAATTATAATAAATCAAAAGATTATTAAAACTTTAACACCCTGTTGCTACGAAACAAAGCACACTCAGAACTATGTTGATATCAAAAATAGATCTTATTTTTACGTGAGGAATCTTCCCACGAGAGATGGTACATTTTTTTTGAAACACCCTATATACAGTTGGGGGTTGGAACCTTTGGTGTTACACTAGCAGAATAAAATGCTAATGATTAGTGAAACACGCATCCAGTGAAAAAGTAAAGTTTTTTTGTGTATTGTGGTGAATTAGTGTTTTATTTTGCTGTTGTAACACCAAAGGTTCCAACCCTCAACTCTAATATGTAATTATATATAAAAACAAAATATTACCGTATGATCGAAAAAAATGGTATCAGCGATGGCTATGAAATGAAGATCGCTGTCATTTTATATGTAAAATTATATGAGGAATGTAATTGATTTTTTCCATGCCAACTCGACGCTTTTTTTTCGATCATACGGTATTTCATTTTATATTAAAAATCTACATAACGAAAAAAGAAATTTTAAAATATTATTCTTAAATCTTTTTCCAGAAAATTTTTTAAAAACTTCAGTTTATTTATTAAATTAATAGCTAACAGTAGAGTCTTTAAGTTTGTTTTTAGCTTTTAGCCTTAGTGAACTTTTTAATAACTCTATAGCAATCAATTTTAATTGCTGTATTATGTCAACAGCTCAAAGTGTTCAAAGTATTAAAGCTAAGCCTTTAAAAACAAAATTAAAAACTTCTTTATACAGAGTCGCTGATATGTATGGAAACGGTCGATTATTGGGTAAAATACACGAGGTACCGCAAAAAGTTATATATAAAATATAAAAATTATAGGGTTTTTAATTGTCTATTGGCAAGTAATAAATTTAAGTATACAGGGTTGGTGATAAAGTCGTAGCACATCAAAGTTAGTTTCACTCATCATACAGTCCCAGGGCTTTGACAAAAGCCAGTATCTGGGACGGTTTTATAGAGGGTAGTTCTCCATCTCCAATATCAGTCGTACCAAAATTCATGGCACGAATGGTTGTCGTCTCGGCGCACTCAGTGATGAGGTGTACTGGTGTTTCCCCATCTTCCCCACAGAATCTGCATTCGCCGTTTCTTCTTAGTTTCAATCTACTGAGGTGTTCATTGAGGAGACAGTGTCCTGTTAAAAACCCCGTGACAATCCGAAGATTGTTCTTACTTAAACCCAGGAAGATCTGTGATTTTTCTTGATCATAAGCCCTCAGAAACTTCTTCGAGTGTCTTAGACCGTTGCTAGATTTCAATTTCAGGTTGCGGATGGAATCTTCCAAGTTCTTGAGTTCCGCCTTGAGTTGGTTACCACTTGGAAAGCAGAACGGTTCTGGTCCAGTTAGTGGAGTGTTCGCTCCTTTCCTAGCTAGATTATTTGCTTTTTCATTGCCTTCTATCCCTTGGTGAGCAGGCACCCAGAGTAGGAGGACTTTGTTTTCTTTGCCTAATTTATTCAGCTTCTCTATGCATTCTTTGACCTTCGAATTTCGAATTGATTGATACTGAGTTGATCGCTTTTAAGGCTGCTTGACTATCAGACAAGATGGCTATTTCTTGTTTCCGATAGTTCCTATCTAAGATAAGTTGTACGCATCTTTCGATAGCGTAGATTTCTACCTGTAGGATACTAGGGTAAGTGCCCATTGGTTCGGAGTATTTAGCTCTCGGCCCAAACACTCCGATCCCTGTTCCCGTATTGGTTTTGGAAGCATCAGTATACCAAGTTATGGTATGGTCTTTTAACTGCTGGGCAAGCGTTTCGCTCTTCCAATCCTTTTTACTGCTCAATACTACATTGAGATGTTTCTCAAAGTTTTGTGTACCAGGCAACTGCTCCATAAGTAATCATGGGTCTTACTATCATGGTATACATCCAGCGCAAAATGTTAGGGGAGCAGCCCCATCTATTTCCGGCCAGTCTTCTGCATATCATGAGAGCCTATATGGCTTTGCTGGTAGTGTTCTTAATATGCCTGTTCCACAGGAGTTTACTGTCCAGGGTTATTCCCAGGTATTTGGTTTGGTAACTTCCTGTGTTGGCAGTATTTCCTTTCCATCTAGTTGGATTCTTTTCAAGTTTTTCAGACTTCGCTTTCTGGTGAATGGCACTATCGCGGTTTTGTCTAAGTTGATACTCAGCCAGACAGTTCTACGCCATTATTTCAATTCTTCCTTAAGCAAAAATCGAGATACACACATTGTATCTCTAACCAACCGTTTCCGAGTTATTGTCTTTTGAAAATATGCCGTAAAACAATTCGATTTAATTAATGTCGATGTGTTCTGAGGTTGTGTGATACTTAATAATATTTGACATTAGTTTTCAAGTTAGCATTTATAGATGTATAAAATGAGATTTTATCAAGTCTGGAAATTACAAAAACTCGATATCTCGGAAACGGTTGGATTTAGGTACATTATGTTATTACAATTTTTGATTAAAATTGAAGGTAGAATTGAAATACCTAATAACATACAGGGATTTCCATTTAAAAGAAAATATTTGAGATGCCACGACTTTATGATCGACCCTGTATACTTAAATTTATTACAAGATGTTAGGCATTTAAAAACCCTATCACTTTTTTATTTAACTTTTTGCGGGACCTCGTGCACTTTGCCCAATAATCGACCGTTTCCATACATATCAGCGACCCTGTATATAGTTTTGTATTACTGATATTATCAAAAAAAAAATCCGCCTTCTATTCGAACTTATTTACTTGTTGATCTCTTCGTTTTTAAACTTTGGACTGCAGTGATTGAAGTATATACTATATATCATATTGGCAACCGGAAGAATAAATTCTCTACCTTCATGTGTTGTTTAAGTATAATACCGGCTTAATGAAAGTATATAAAAGCAAACTTATTGATTGGATTCCTTACCTTTCTCTTGTTTTCGTCGTTTTCGTTTATTGCAAATCTTAACAGCACAAACTGACAAGATGATGGCTACGATGAAGAACAAAATACCGCCCACAACTCCTGCTGTAATGGCCTGTGAAAATAATTATTTTGTTTGAAAAATCCATATGACTAGTCTATCATAATCACAAATTATTCAATACCCAGCTTGATATATTATGGAGACTTACTCTGAAGTGAGCAAGTCGTTACTGTGTTTATTGGTTACCATTACAGTTATTCCTATCTTTGTTTAGTATACGTAGACGCCAGACGCTAAAGAGTCAGAGGGATTTACAGAGAGGTTAGATATAGTTCATACCAATTAAACTTTTAGTCACGTGATTAAGCTTGACTGGCACAGCGTTGCCCACTTTTACATAATATTTTCTTTTAATCAAAATATTTAAGGAAACAAAAAAAATAATTATAAATATATAAACAGTTATTATTTACATTATAAGCTATCTTGTACACTTCGCACTAAACAAATCACAAAACAATTAATCGCACTATCACAAAACAATTAATTTAAACCAAAAACTCGTAACACAAAACTAAAGTGTCAAAACAAATGACAATGTCAGGAAATAAATAAATGAATGTGGCAACTTTAGTTACGTAACTAAAAGTTTAATTGATGTCGAATATATGTGATATGAACTCATATGATGTGAACACTTATAACACTTATATGATATGTGAACTGTTTGAATCAACAAGCTCCTTCAGACAGGCTACAGCACTGGAGAAAAATTTACCAAATATTTCGTAGGACCATATCATAGCTATATGCTCCTGTCAAGCGCAAATGGTATCTCCTTTTCACTTGAAAGTGTTCTCACTATTGTTTACGCATGTGGGAAAATTTCCAGATATCATTCTATACAGGGTGGCGCCTCTCATATACGCCGCGGAAGTTCCAAGGAGAACGATAGTTTATATCGAAATGAAATTTTGGCAGCATATGTAGGTTAACTAAAAGCATTTTATAAAAATATACAGGGTCCGGCAATAGTGCGTCGGGCATCTGTAGCTCCTAGAATAAAAAACTTGAGAATTTTGTTTAAGTGCAAACCTAAACTATGTACCAGGATGTATTTAAGGAAAGTATTTTAACTTCTATAGGGTGGCTCAAAAAAGTGCGAGTGGACCTTGATGATTTTTTTTAAATGGAACACTCTGTATATTATTGCATTTTTGGCTTCCTTTCGGGTCACATAATCCTAAGATATGAATAAACATATTTTAATAGTTTCAGAGATATTAAAAAATAAATCAAAAATATATATTTTAAAGCCCTTCTTAAAAAAAATATTAAAAATACAAGAAACGTTCTCAAATCAAAACTATATTAGGTATTTACTTTAGATGGTCTATACTTACTTTGCTATAAATATGAAAATCGTAAATTATACAGGATGTTCAAAATTCTACGCCAAACTTACTAAAATATAAAATAATTTTTCTTGGTTTTTTTAAATGAAACACCCTGTATATTATTTTCTCAATAGACGGAGAATTAAAAAATGAACATTTTTTGTATTTAGAGTATTTCAAAATTTTTAACAGTTTCGCAGATATTTGCGATTTTATATTTTATATGGCATTTCCCACAGTAAATTTTTATCAAAGCCACCCAATGATTTTTTCTCGTATTTTACCATTGAAAGCGCCATACGAAATAACACTGCGTGTATCTGCGAAACCGTTAAAAATTTTGAAATACTTTAAATACAAAAAATGTTCATTTTTTTACTCTCCATCTAATAAAAAGATAATATACAGGGTGTTCCATTTAAAAAAACAAAGAAAAAATATTTTATATTTTAGAAAGTTTGGCGTAGAATAGTAAACATCCTGTATGATTTACGATTACCATATTTATAGCAAAGTAAAAACAGATCATCTAAAGTAAATACCTAATATAGTTTTGATTTCAGAACAGTTCTTGTATTTTTAATAATTTTTTTAAGAAGGGCTGAAAAATATATATTTTTGATTTATTTTTTAATATCTTTGAAACTATCGAAATATATTTATTCATATCTTAGGGTTATGTAAAGTGATCTGAAAGGAAGCCAAAAATGCAATAATATACAGGGTGTTCCATTTAAAAAAAATCATCCATGTTCACACACACTTTTTTGAGCCACCATATAGAAGTTAAAATATTTTCCTGAAATACATCCTGGTACATAGTTTAGGTCTGTACTTAAACAAAATTCTCAATTATTTTATTCTAGGAGCTACAGATGCCCAACGCACTATTGCCGGACCCTGTATAGAATTGTACAGGGTGTCCCCAAAAAAGTTACATATCAAAGTTGTGTTTTTTCAATGGAACACCCTATATATTAATTGATTTTCGGATTCTAGAAAAAAAATAAAGGTGAGTTTTATTAAAGAAGCATATTATACCTAAAATCTAAGGATTTTGACATATTTCACATGTTATGAAAATGAAAAGTAAATTTTAAATTTCCATAACAGCTACCTAAATTTTAGTTGACCTTGTATAGCCTGATATTTAATTACAGTAAACATTTATGCTAAACCAAATTGAAATTTGACCCGAAAAGTTATACAGGGTGAGACAAAATTAATATGGAACATTAGTCACTTTTAAAAGTAAGTTGCTCCTTTATTTTAAAAGGAACACCCAGTATATTATTCCGGTGTTCAATGGGGAATTTATTTATCTTCAAAATATTATTAAGGTTGCCTACCCCTCAGACTAGATATTTTCCTAGATATTTTAATTTTTATGATTTTGCGTCAGTAGATCATTATTATTTGAAAAAAATCTAGGGTGACTGTTATATAATCTTTTGTTAATTTAACAAAAATTAAAGATTGTTGAGTAAAATACTCAACGGTAATAAAAAGATACACGTTTAAAATATATTTTAATTATTACACAATTAAAACTAGATATAAACCTATAATTATGTGACAAAAATTAGCTAGATGAAATCAAATGCTCAAAATGCTTCATTTCCTGTTAACTGCATAAAATGATTGTTTTTCAAAAGGATCTTTTCATTTTAAAAGGCATATGTGTCTTTTCATTTTAAAAGGCATATGTGTCTTTTCATTTTAAAAGGCATATGTGTGTTTCACTACCGCGAAAAGCAGCTACAATAATTTCTCTCATGTTGTCGCCAATAGTTGGTTGAGTTTTTTAAACACTGCCTTTAACATATCCCCATAAAAAAAAGGCTAGATAAAATCAGGAGCATTTAAATATTCTATTAATTGGTGAATGCACACTGCATTCACCAACTAATAGAATCATATCAATTCTCTCTGATGTGGGATAAGTTTGCATTTTCGGCAAATTTCTGAGAAATATTTTTCTTTTAACTGACACAAAATGATAATTAGTTGTTAAAGTTGGACTAAATAGACAGCTATGTTGAAGTAACGTCAGACATATCACAGTCACCCTAGATTTTATCAAATAATACAGATCTACCCAGATCAAATCATGTAAATGAAAATATCTAGGAAAATCTTTGTTTGAGGGGCAGGCAACCTCAATATTAATTTTTTCAATTTTGCAGAGACATAAATTCTCCATTGAATATCGGAATAATATACTGGGTGTTCCATTTAAAATAAAAGAGTAACATGCTTTTAAAGGTGACCAATGATTCAATATTAATTCTGTCTCACCCTGTATAACTTTTTGGATCAAGTTTTAATTTGATTTAAAGTACAATAGTTAATTTAACTACATATTAGTCTATACCGGGTAAATTCCAATTTAGGTAGCTTTTATTGTAATTTAAAAATTGTTCCTTACTTCTTTATAGAAAATGTTAAATATGTCAAAAACCTTACATTTTAGTCATATACTTCTCTTAGAAAACTCACCTTTATTTTTCTCCCAGCATCCGAAAATCAACTAACATATAGGGTGTTCCATTACAAAAAGCACAACTTTGATATGTAACTTTTTTGGGGTCACCATGTAGAACTCTCTATATTTTTAAAAAGTGCTCTGGATTAACCTACATATACTGACAAAATTTGATTTCAATACAAACTGCCGTTCTCCTTGGAGCCTCCTCGGGCTATGAGACGCGCCACCCTGTATTTGACGAGTTATAGAGATATCTAGCTTGGTATTGAATTAACCGAGCTACTTAAAATTACCTTGTGTTTTACCCTTGCTGGCACTGAAAATTTCACTTGCTCGCTGCCCTCGTAGCTTTGTTCCGAGTGGGCAAAGATCCGAAAATAGTATGTCCGACCACCCACAAGATTCTTAACTGTAAATATGACAGAGTACTTAAAAAGTTAGTTACCTACTTTTAGATCTTTTGATATTATAATAAAGAGTGCTTTCAAGAATGGTTCATTCCAACATTCCAACATTTGGTTGAAAGAGTAACTTCGACAGTCCATTTTTGTTATTATAATATACCGGGTGCGTCTCAAAAGTGGCTCACTTTTATAACTATTTTGTTTTTCAGATAAAAAAACGAGATTTGATCTTTTTGGTCAATTCCTGTTTCACCGGAAATGACAACTTTTGATTTTTAAATGATACCCTCGGTATTTATTTACTTTATTCGATAGAAAATGACACTCAGAATAGAATAACATACCATATGTCAACTTTTGTTCTATACCATATGTCAACATACGCAGATATGTCATTCTATTCTGAGTGTCATTTTCTATCGAAAAAAATACTGAGGGTGCCATTTAAAAATCAAAAGTTGTAGTAATTTCCGGTGAAACAGGAAGTAATCAAAAACAATTGAATACGTCAATCAATCCTAATTTATGTCATATATTAACATATCAAATCTCGTCTTTTTATCTGAGAAAATGAAAAAGTTATAGGGGTGAGCCACTTTCGAGACGCACCCTGTATAAAAAGGCAAATAAATTAATATCATTATTATTATTATAATATATACCCTTTAATAAATAATATAATCATAAAATTCACTTTTCTATGTATTTTTTAGAGAAGAAAATTATGGTTTTTCATAAATATTGGAGTTATGAACTTCTATTGTTTGAAATGTGTATTTAAACACGAAACAAACAAAACAATGACAATCAATGGGAGTTTAAAACTTTAGTATTCATCGCTGTTCCATTTTCATTTCGATAATGCTTTACTTTATCGCCTTTAGGTATTAACTCTAGAAAACAATATATTTTACAAGAATATTATATTGACGAGAACAAAGAGAGATAAGGGACAGACAATAATATATTGATTAAATTAATTGGGAAGTGGCTTTCTCGCTAGTAAGTATTTTTAGGTAAAAATAACTTGAAAAATTTCAATATATAGGGAAAGTAAAATAACTTTCGTTGCACATCATAATACGACCAGAAACAAACTCCACAAGACGACGCATGGTGTCACTGATGACGTGCAACAAAAGTTGTTTAATTTCCCTTTATGTTTCTACTATATCCGTCGTTTAAACTAAGCATATATACCCTATGATAACAGTTCTATAATGATTTTTTTTGATTTACTGAATATAAAACGAAAAGTATACAGTCTGACAAAAGGATCTTAAACAATGAAGCAACGGTAAAGAGAACGCTGTTTTCAAAAAGCCTGGCCAATTTTATTCATAAAATACAGGGGCATGCGGTGTTTTATGAAAATATATAAGGAATTTCTATATTTACCAGTAAACTGTAAACTCCTTCTAGACTATGATCGAAATGTTCCGCGAAATATTTTGTGAAACAATTCGCGAAGCATTTCTCGAAGTACTTTCAGAAGTAAACTTAATACTTTTCTTATGTTGCGGGGAATCTTGGCTTGTCTCAGCCGCAAACATCAAAATCGCCCAAAACGAACTATGATTGTTTGTTTTTCATTGTTATTGGAATTGTCTCTCGAAACGTTTCGATCGGTTTTGACAAAACTTTTCTAACACGCGAGTATTATATATATTCTTCGTACTACCGTTGATTGAAAGAATTGAGAAGATACGCAACCTAATGGGCGAATTCGTGACAGGGCTGATTTGATTTCCCCTTATGTCTCAAGTGCTCTACGGTCTACGGTGGAGACACCAACCGTTCTGCGATCAATACATAAAATACTTATTTTCTCTAATTCGGCCAGCGAAGGCATATCGAAGACGATGTGGATCTGAAAGCACAGTGTTGCCATATTGAAATGTGTAATATTTGTAATACGTTTTTTTTTTTGACTAAAATATCTTTGGATGAAAAATTCGCGGTTATGTATTGAAAATGTATTCGTGTTAAATATAGAATAAACAACAAAAATAAAAATTCGTTTATACCTACTGAATATGTCGTGCGATCGGAAAAAGTCAATATTTGGCTTGAAAATGGCGATTATTGACATTTACCATAATAATTTACATATGAAATAACAGCGGTCCTCATTTCCAAGCCAACTTTGACCCCGTTCTTTGTTTAATCATATAACATTATATTAAATTGTTTAATGATAGAAAATCCGTATTATTAACGTACTGTACCCAAAATCCGTAAATCTACGGATTAACCAGTAGTTCTGGCAACACTGCTTCCGGCAACCACTCACTCTGTCGACTGAAATCAGAACTACGGTACAGTATTCTTTATCCGCTGCGCTGTAAACGACTATCAGCGCCCAGAGCTAAACTAAATCTCGGAATTCCCGGACAGGCTGACGGCTACGCCAACTACAGCTCGGACAGGTTTTGTGCCACAGAATCGCCCATAAGGTTGCACATCTTATTTTTTCAATCAACGGTACTATTTCGCGAAGTAATCAAGGTCAAACTTTGTTGTGGCTTCAGAAAAATAAGTAAACATGGAGTATGAATAAATTTCATTAGTTTGTAATAGTAAATAATACCACTACATTAAACTGAAATGAAAAATCGAAAACAGTGCATTTAGAAAACAGTTACCGATGGTAGATTAAATTGGCTATTCCTTTAAGGTTACCCAAGGATATTTAGTTTTAATAATGGGCTCTTTCACAAAAAATAAAATACCCAATTCAAGGACAAAATCTGAAATAGAAGACTATTTTCAGTATATTTATCCAAAAAAAATAGTTCCATGACATTGAATAACTTTTTTATAGGCCCTCAAAATTGCTTTAATTTGAAATAATTTTAAAGCGCCAATTGATGACGTATGAAAAATACGCCCAATCACATTGCAGAACGGTGCTCGTGCGCCAGCCAACAACTGGCAACATTGCGATTTGATTTGACCAGCACCACCTCAACTCAAGGCCAATCAACATGATATGGGCAAGGCAAATATGGCGGCGAATGCAGCGCATTATTAAATTGTTTACCTTTAAACTGAAAAGCCGGTAGTGGTTTCTCGTTCCGATTGCATACCAGAAATAATTAATTATCTCTAGTTTGTTGTGGTTCTGCAACACGTTTGTTTAGTTCTTAGTGTTCAGTGCATGGTGTGATCAGAAAATTGTGATAAAATAACAGTGTAATAAAAATCCAAACCAGACATTTCACATAGGGAACTTCAAACTTTTGTGCTTGTCGTACTCCTCTATTATTAATTATTTTAAGGTAAGAACTAGAAGTATTTATCAAGATATTACACCTAAATGAGTAAAAAGCCTTCACCGCCAGTCTGCATAGTACTTTATAATGGTTACTTACAATAATCAAAAGATAGGTATTAAAGGGTAGGTATTAACATTTTATTGTAGCATACCTTTTACATGCTCTGTTCCAAATTGTCACGAGAGTTATAGAGGGGGTCCCAAGGTTTCTGCTTTTATATTTCCCAAAAATGACGAGCTTCGTAAAAAATGGTTGACAGCTATTAAAAGAGATAATTTCACTCCTACTAGTAGTTCTCGAGTAAGAAGTGCATTAAATATGCCTCAAAAAGGCCAAAGCCCAAAGCCTCTGTTACCCTAGTGAGGATGTAGTTATGGCTACTGCTTACACTTACCCTACAAGATATTGACAACATTCACATTTGAAAATATAAATGGCCTGGATGTAAGTCTTTTTTTAGGTCACAATTCCCCCTCACATATGTCAGAATTTATTATTAAAAAAAAGGAATGACGTTATAAAAAGGTATTTAGTTTTTTTTCTATATAAAATCTTGAAACACATATTATATTTTTTAGTTATCATCACCTATTATAGTTTAAATTTATTCCCATTTGTGTAATGCTGCAAAACATAGGAAAAATATTTCATATTTTTTGACCCAAGCCAGTGTAGTTTACACCAAGAGCATTTACCAAGGCTAAGACAAGTAACTTCCTATATTGTCCATAATAGTATATATTTAACAAACTGCAGTAAATGCAGTAAATTCTAAACTATAGTAGGTAAGTGTATGCAATTGAATATTTAGTTTATATTGCTATTTTCTGTCATATATTTCTGGTTATTTCTATTTCCGATGATTTTGAACACCTTATAGATGCTACCTCAAGTTTGAATATTTACACACTAGTACACTACCTACTTATTTTCTGAAAAAACAGACTTTTTTATAAAAAGTAACTAACTGATGTTTTCATAAAAGTAATACAAAAAATTCCATACTTATGTGGAGAGCTTTAGACTCCCTGTATATTAAAAAATTAGTGAAATATTACGTAATCTAACCCGACATTTGTGTGAAAAATGTCTATTTGGAAATAAAACAGGTATTAAAATACGCGCCAAATAAAGCACTTCTATCTCCGCCATATTGGAAAAGGTTGAATGGCCTTGTGTGGAGGTGGTGTTGGGTCAGCATGGTGGCCCGGCCGTGTTGCCGCTTTTCAACATGCCAGGTGCCAGGTGTGACGTATTAAAATTAAAGTGCGGATTTTTATTCTGGGCTTTTTTGTTTTTATTTATTTTCTTAAGAACGACTTCAAATTTTTCGAAAGTGAGATAGCAGAAAATTCTAGAATTAATTGCTTTATTCAATTATGCTAATTCCAAAATATAGTGAAAGGGCCCATTGTCTAATAATATTAATTACAATATAATATAAAAATATATTTCCAAAGCTTAAAATCGTATCATTTATAAAATCGTAACTGCAGGGCAACAGTGACTAACTGTTCTAGCGGTCCGCCTTTTATCGGTTAATAATCCTCGGTGTTAAACTATTTAAAAAATCGTCTAATTATTTCTTATTTTTGATCGTCTTACCTAAATAATGTGTATCTTCTGGTCGTATTTGAGCTTTATTCAAGGTCTTCCATGGACCATCAGTTCGATACTTGATGACGTAGTGATGAACAATAACGGATTTCTCCAAGGGAGGCATCCAAGTAATGAGGAAACCATGATCCACTTCGGTCACAGTCAGATTTCTAGGAGCACCCGGTTTTGGACCTTAATACACAATTTCGTTATTGCGTCAGAATGGTAATAGAATTAAAATATTAGTGTCTATTAAGAGTCCATTTCACTAGTCCGAAAAATTAGCAAAATAAGCGTTCGGCATTTGACGTTTTATGTAAAACTGGCTAGGTATTATTACTCAAATGAAGAAGGAAATTAACGGTAAAGGATTATACTATATCCGTATTGTAGTCCATTTTTAGACAACTTCTTTATTTTTAAGAAATTGATGATCAAACATCAACAAAATATTCCTTATGTTTGGACTAAATTTTCTCGAAAATAAAGACATAATTTAAAATTTCGTTACTATACGGTAATAGATTGAAGTTTTGTGATTACATTGATATATAATTTATATGGTTTTGTAACAAATTGCTCGCTATTTTATGGCAAATGCTGAAGCTCTGCAAACCTTAATCAAGCCTTAATCAAAGCACGTGTGTTTGGAATTTTGGGTGTGGCTTAACACGACAGGAACGGGCTAAGCATTAGGCAGATTTCTGAAATATAATATATTATATTTCCTTCGGCCACACACCCGCTTTATTCGACCCCTGAGAGCCACCCGAAAATACAGCGTAATAGACTCTTAAGAAAAAAAAATAACTTAATTATATTAAACAGTACGGTCTGATTAAATTGAAAGCAGTGATACAGTAGACTAGAATCGAGTTATTATTTAACAATCTACTTACTAGAAACTACTAGTACTTTTTAGAAATAACACTTTGTAACAGTTGATCAGTTCTCATGAAGGTAAAAGTTACTAAAAGTGCTACATATTTTAATGCTAAAAGAGTGTCGATAACGAATTTTTCGAAAAAAAAAACATATGCGCCACTGACTTTTTTCTTTTGATAGCAAAATTGTGTAGGCCGTTTAATACCAATTAAAAGTTGTATCTTGTTATTTTGTCGACTTCGATCACCTTGATGAGATAAACGCAATTTTGTTAATAATCACAATTAATAAAAATAAAATTAATTATTTATTTATTTTATCTAATTTATTATTAAATAATATTAATATTAATTATTATTACTATATTAGTCTAAGGGTCTAACTTAGGTGCCCGGTGGCGTAGAGGTACAGGCTCTCGTCTACCAATCTCAAGGTGTGGGTTTGATTCCCACACCCGGCATTTCATCAGCCGACTATTTTTTTTAAAATAAAAATAGTTTGGGTACCTAGGTCGACTCAGCCTTAAATGAGTACTTGGGATTCACAGTCCTGAGGTAATAATAGGCGGTTGAAGCGTAGTGCTAGCCACATTACCTTCCTTGTATACCGAACGGCTCTAGTATAGCAAGCTATACCTTGCTACTCCCAAGGCGTTAAACGCTATATACGGGAGCTATTATTATTATTATATATTAGTCTAACTTACAGTAAATTCAAATAAAAAAAAAATAATGGAATTTAAGATAATTACAAAAGACCTAATTTTAAAAAGCTTTAACATCCTGTAATTTTGAAACTATGCCATACCCATGTTTATAGGAACTTTTTTTCATATTTTTTGATGAGGAATCAATGAATACTTATTTAAAACTTTCGCAAGTTAATGATACTAAAATGTTTTAAAGGTTGCTATTAGACTGGGATCAAAGAAAATTAATAAAATTGCGTTTATCTCATCAAGGTCGAAATCGACAAAATATGAAAAGACAACTTTTAATCGACATTAAACTCCTTATATTATCTCACTAACAAGAGAAAAAAAGTCAATGGCATACATGATATGGCATATATGAAAAATATTCCAGGGATAACCATACGTACGTCCCTGGTGACTATGTCGATACTTTTTTAGCATTAAAATATGTCGCATTTATAGTAACTTTGACCCTCAATATTTTATTGCAATCGCTAAAAGTACTTGGAAGGAAATTATAATAAATCGACAAAAAAATAAGACCAACACCCTGTAGCCACGAAACAAATCAGAATCGAACCTATGTTGATATGAAAAATAAATCTTATTTTTACGTAAGGAATTTCCCCACGAGAGATGGCACACGTTTTTTAAAACATCCTGTAGAGGCAGTTTTGGAATGACAGTTGATATTGAATAAACTTAAATCCTTCATAAAATATTGTAAAAGTTTAATATATTTTTAAAAAATTTAGATAGGGTTAGAAATTGCTTAAATTTTATCTCATAGTTTTATTGTTACGATCACAGTTACTCTCAATAACTACAACGATAAATATAAAAGAACTTGAATTATTGAACAATAGTTTCTACTCTTATTGTAATATCGTTCTTATTTTCCAAGTACGTATAGATCTAAAAACTTTATATTATTTTCCAGTGAAACAATATTGATATTAAAGAGAGTATCTCTTACAATACCTTTTTCAATATTTGAGAATAATAACAAAGGGAAATATTTGATTTCCTTTATAAAATAGAACGTTCGAATACGAAATCTAATTCGTAATAAATTTAAAAAAATAATCTTACCCAAATTCTCGTCGTTTGGGGTAATAATAGACGTAGGAGTTATTATAACCTGATGGGGCAATCCAACTTCTATAGATAGCAACGATAAAGGAAAAATTATCAGTATTATTAGCAGTTTAATATACAAATTTCTACTTACCTAGCGTTCTAATGGTCAGGATCTTGCTCATCATACCCTCTCCAAGAGCATTTTTGCCAACCACCTGAAACTCGTAAGTCGTTCCAGGTGCAAGTCGGTTGATAGTGACCTGGGTACTTCCCGAAGGAGTTACAGGAATCGTAGCCCATTCAGAAACTCCTGCTTCTCTATACCACAGGGTGTAATCTTGCTTGTAATCAGGACCTCCACTATATCCTATTTTCAAGTAATATTTATGTTATATAATTTCAAAGTAACATCAATAAAAGTAGTATGGTAACCATCATAAAACACCATGTTTGTTGGATTTTTTTTATTTTACACAAATTTGCATTTCTGTAAGTTGATTGCATTATTCTATGTTTATTTTGTATTAATTTTTGTTCATTTTATACGTGTGTTACACCCTCGCCAACATATTCTGCAGAAGAAAATAAGTAAAAAAGTTCGTATAAATGTATGTCCGAAAATGCTTAGTTTCGAAGATACAGGGTGTAGAAGTTTTATTTTTATTTCAATTTTTTTTAAATAATTTCTGAAGTAACGTGAATATTTGGATGAAAGTTGGTGTCTGGGAGTTGTTTGACATGATAAATTTGATTTTGATGTCAATATATGACTCCTATTTGTAGGGGGTATATAACTTTTCGTACGTACCTATATAAAACTACTGAGTAAAAAAATATACATTTGCGTAATTTTTGACGTAAAAAATGTCACTTGGTAAAAATCGCCACGAGCAACCGTTCAAGATATTTAGAATGGATGTCATTATTGACAAAAAATAAATATGTTGAGTAGATAATTATTTGACTGAAATGATAAATTTGGGAACTTTTTGTTTTTTAAATTCATCATAAAATTGTCTTTGAAAAAATGATGATAAAACAGTTTCTGTTGGACTTTTGGACAAGGTATTGATAATTTCGATTCCAAATATCTCGAGAACCATTACTCGTAGTGATGACTCATGGTACAAAGAAAACAAGGTATGATCGATAGCGACTCCAATTTCGTTAAGTTTGCGCATACCACCTGTGACGTCATACGCCATACAGAAAAATATCCATATTGTTCAATTGCCACTAATAAAAAAAAGACCTAAAATAGGGAAGAATCAGGCCATAACCCCAAAAGTTATGTCAAATTATCGAGCTTGACATTTGAAAAATTATTTTCGCGTTTATTGTGTCATCTGTTTGACAATTTGAAATTGGCGCGCGAAGCTTGCAGACCAATGGTGCCGTTTATCCAACGTTTATCACCTGTGACGTAGTAACCAACCTGCGCAATATCATACCTTGTATTCTTTGTATCATGATGATGACCATGGCTGGGAAACTTAAATGGAAATGACAGTTCATTAAAAATAGTTTTTCCTCCAAGATGCAGAGGCGCAAAATATTAAAACTGTCAATATTAACAATGCAAATGTCAATATCTGACAATAATAAAATTTGATTTTTAACTGTCACTCAGAGACGCTTTTGTTGTGATTTTACGGTTTGATTTCGTTTTGATTTGTCGAATTATTGTAAAATTAAATTCCTTCAGATTTTTTGCTAGTATTCTGTTTTAGACAATGTTTTTTAAAAATGATGGGACAATTTGTGTTTTGTAATAACTCTTAATTATTTGTTATCATGGAGTTTAATTATTGTACACCTGGTTTCCGAAGGATACAATGGTAAGTAAATTAAACATATCTACTTACAGTTATAGATTTTTTAAATTAGTACTGCTAATAAATGCTACTTGTAGAGCAGTTATTTAATTTTTTTTACGGTGCATGTAAGGAATTAAGGACGCGCGTTTTATATTAGCATGATCAGCAGATGATTACATCTGATTTAATTTGTTTTTATTATTTCAGGTCCCAAATGGAAACAAACTGGGAATCTTGCCGGCCTACACCAAAATTATATACCTAGCCATTTCCAATTCACTTCAAAGGGAGGAAAATTATGTAAAACTGCCTGCTATTTACTGAAAACCGCCAAAGATTAAATTATAACTGTAACAACTTAATATATACTATTTCTAGTATTTTTAATATATTTTTTAATTAATATCCGACATATAAGAACACTTTGTACGCTTTTAATTCAGTTGATTTATCGTTTATAATATGTTCGACCTAATTAAAAGCACACAAAGTGTTCTTACATGTATATCTAAATTTATTTTAAATTAACTAAAACAACCCCCCTTCCCCGCACCCCTCTCTTCCATTAGTATTTCTTCCTCCGTCTACCAGAGGCGCCCTTGTATAATAAAATTGAAATGTATTATAAGTTGCCTATCTATTTAATAGTATAAGTCTTTTATCTATGGTGATGACTCTACAAGTAGGCGTCATATTGACATCAAAATCAAATTTCTGTATGTGAAAAGAATCCTAAATACCAATTTTCATCCAAATATTGACGTTAATTCAGAAATTATTTGAAAAAATCGAAATAAAAATAAAACTTCTACATCCTGTGTCTCAGAAACCAAGCAATTTAGGACATACGAACTTTGAAGAATATGCTGCCGAAGTTTCCAGAATACAGCTCGGACCGCCCTGTATAATTCAATATAATATAGTGAGGTTATTATAACACTTACAAAGGTGCCTCAAAAATAGGAACTTGTGCTGCGCGCGATTGTTACCACACTAAATATACGAAAAAAAGAAATAACAATATAAGTTTTTAAAGAATGCAGTATATAACGTAGGGTATTATACCTGGCATCCAACTTAGAGTTACGCTAAACTCCGTCGCAGTACCGGAGAGGTTGTAAGGTGCGTGAGGTTGAGTACCCTCGACAACTAGTTGTGTTGATGTGACTATTGTTGCTACTTCGTTCGTTGCAACACACTGGTAAAATCCAAAATCTGCTCTGCGTAGACTGTCAATTGTTATATTTCCTCCGACAATTTTTATTCGGTTCTTCGGCAAAGGAGTACCTAAACATACGAATTTATCAGCAAAAAACTTTCAAGAGTGTTTTTAGTAATTTTACCATCCCTTCTCTGCCACTGAATTGTTGGTTTCTGAGTACCTTCAGCTTCTGCCGCGTCGCAAGCCATCTCGACGGTTTCGCCAACTTTTCTTTGGTACATGGCTTCCGGTTCGATAGTGAAGGTTGGAGGTTTTCTCACCAAAACCTCCATTTGACCGGAACTACCTTGGGTTCCTTGGGCGTTGTACGGGGTGCACGTATACCGGCCCTACATGTTCATAATACGTAAAATGTTATATGATTGCTTATAATGCCTATATATTCAAGGTGTACAAAGTGCGAGAAAAATTAGGATGTGATCAAAATGTCTTCTTTGTAATATCATCTTATCAAGAGTTCAAATTTTGGTTGCATAAAAAAGTTTATGTACCCTATAGTTTTCTTTTTATATAGACCATCCGGGTATAGGCTGGGTGCATTTCAGTTGATTTCAAAAAATTCAGACCGCAGCGCTGTATCCCGGCTACAGTTCATGTTGATCGCATTAAAATAATATTGAAATCGTGGCTTTGTCATAATATTTAAGTATTTGATTTTTTTTTGCTAGTGCAGTTATTTGAAAAAAATAAAACACTCAGGTACAAGGTTTGTGTGATGTAACGCTGTTTGGGGTAGTAAAAAATAAGTGAAAAAGAATCCGAACACACTCACATCACATCCTGTTGTGTTATGACAATTTCAAATGTTAATAAAACAGCCGAAAAAATGTTAACGCGTAAAGGAGAACGTAATTAGGGCGATTTAGGGTGCAATAACATTCAATAACTCAACTTTGAAAAAAAAATCACCTCTCCCAATATTTTATAGCTTCAGAGTTTCTCATACTGATTTGATCAAAAGCAAAAATGAATTCAAGTGAGTAAACAAAGTGCTCGTTACATAATCAAAAAATTAAATATTCGTGTAGACATATACCGTTCGTATACTATCAGAGGATAAAGTATAATTTGCAATATTAATGGTATACTTTTTTTAATCAACTAGTGATTACATGTTTTATGAATACCTTCTAAAATTATAATTATGTACCTTTAAAAAAGTTTGAAGGTCTTTGAAGATATCAAAATATTTACTTTTTTATTTTTATTTTGAGAATTTGCACAAATTATACTTCCTAACACCACAGATTAGTTATATTATATGTATACAGATAAAAATCTTGTCCCTAATTCGTCGGACGAAAATTGTTTTTTATGACGATCAGCAAACGAGTAAAATTTCCTGTGCGCAAAAATAAACTCGCGTTTAAACAGCGTAATAATTGGGCCGGTTAGGCGCTGTGCACAATTTTAGAGGCCATAAGTGGCGTGCTATGTGCGCAAACTAGTAACCTAACTAGTGCGCGACTCCGTAAATTGAAACTTGAAAAAGACTTTTAGAATAATTATATAATACATTTTTCGTATATTTGCTATTTAAACCCGGGTATTTGTATATATCAGTTGTTTACGATATTCTCCGATGGTGGCAGCACCGGCGGAGAATGCACCAAACCTATAGTTTATCTAATTTATTGTTTGTTGTTGATTTGTTATTGATATGCCTAATTTAATGGTATCTAACAATTTAGCATTTCATTTAATTGATCTCATTTATCAGTCTAATTTGTAATAAAGCAAAAATTTAAAATAATTACAGCAATTTAAAAAAATTAAATAAACACGAATTAAAAATGTCAAAATTGCTCGAGAAATTCTGATCGAAAATTCTCGTGCCTCGAGAAATAAAGTAGATCGAGAAACCTAAAACCCTAGTGCAGTCATCGAATATTAATTAATTAAAGTTTGGCGCTGTGTTACATTGTGCATTTTTGCGGCTGCATTAAAAACGCAGAGATGGCAACAACACACGTCCGTATAACAGGTTACAGTATATGTTTTCACTGTAGCCAGCAAAAAAATGCGTATTGGCAGGATGCGCGGTTTTGATCGATGACGGCACATAATGTGACACCACAAGACGGAATAGTGTATAAAGTTGGTTCCGGTGCGGGTTGAAACGCAAGCGCTAACCGGTTGAAGTGCAGACTACGAATTTATATTTAAGACTGTATCGTAGATAAAGATAACAAGTTTAGATTGGAAAGTGCCCATAAGGACAACGTAAATACTATTTGGCGCTATTCTTGCAACGGTCGCGACCCAAAGCTTTCGATAATTTCGAAGCGGTTCGCCTTTTTCCAGAATTATGTCGCCAAATATATTATTTATTCAGATTTATTATTATTTTCTTTTAATTTTATAACTAAAATACAGTGTGTTGCATACAAGAAACTTTATTTTATATGGAGAAGTAAGGACATGTAAGAAATACCTATGGAACATTGGAAATCGACGTTATGCCACGATGGCTTTTGCAGTTCTCAGTTCATACAGCTTAAGTTTTTTAATGCCACTTTATCACAATTATCAGGGGTTCGAGTAAATAAAATTTAAATTAAAATTACAAGATAGCAATAATTACTTTGAAAATGGACGCTTTAAACACTTTTCGGCATTTTTTCAATGCGGGCGGGGCGCCACGGTGGGGTATTAGCATGAAAAAGGTGATTGAAATTCGAAAAAGCAAATGTGTTTAAGATTTCCCAAAAAAAGATAAATGATAAGTTAAATCATGTCTGCCATGAATGGCGTTGCTATGTGTGTGTTTAGTTGCATTCATTTGTTTCAACGAAACGTCAAAGTTGTTACTTCTCACAGATAAGAGGTAATGGCTAAATTTTATGTTTAAAATTATAAATTGTTGTTTAATAATGTAATGTAATGTAATTTGTGCTCTTTTTACGTTTATATTATTGTTTTGATTGAAAATGGCTCAGCAAGGTGCAGGTATGTATTCTACAAAAACGTATTATTTATTTTGATATTCTCTATACTAACGATTTTTTGCAACTAAAAGTTAGGCGTTCAGAAAATTTGATTAAATTTGTGACATTTATATTATACTTAGAGATTTAGTTGCGCATTTCGAAGAATTCAGCATATTTTCTATATATACGTTTTACTTAGTAAACATTGGGCTTTCATACAGTAAAATAAAATACTGCGACTTTTTGCGACTTTGCTGATAAAATGAGAAAAACATTCTTGGTTTCCTCTAATTTGCCAATCAGTGATATACTAATGCGAGGTGTAAACCGCGATGGCACTGTTGTGTACAAAGCGATCGCATTAGTGCCATTAGCAGTAAAGCACAACTTGGCATTAGTAGCGACTTTAGTGGTATGGACATTGCTCGCGGATCAGTCGTAGCATTAGTATAGTCTGTAAAACGAATAACTTTGAATTTGACAGTTCCCGCGGGCTTTTCTAGTGTTAATTTTATTAGGTTAGCAACTTGCGGCCATGCTGACGCAATGCCGTCTCTAATAGAACAGCCTCGGAACGAGATTTATGACGTCACGCTAGTTAGATACTACGGATTAATAAATATGTTGTAGAATACATGGAAAACATAATTATTCCTCGTATTTGTGGTTTGTATTTTAAAAATGATAGAGTTTACATGAAAAATACATAATATACAGTTAATAAATACAATATATATACATATCTATTTATAGTAATAAATACTTTGGCAGATAAACTATGAACCATACTAATGCAGCAAATGTTTTACAATATGGCTGAAATCGTACTCCATAGTCAATGTAGATAGTTTTGTGTTAAGAATAATAATTTAAAAAAATATATGGTCATCTTTTGACAAGTTTATATTAGTTTATTAATTGCAGTAAACATTATAATATATAAATAAATTTTGTGAATGCCAATAATAATACATCACTATTAGTAGATATTGAATGTTTTTTGTTAAATTAGATCGATTTTCAAACCCCAAAATTTAAAATATATATATTTTACATTTTACCCATTATCTTATGTACCACCTATTCATTATTTGTATATTGTAAAACATTTGCTGCATTTGTATGGTTCATAGTTTTATTTGCCAAAGTATTTATTACTATAAATAGGTATATATTATATTTTATTTATTAACTGTATATTATGTATATTTCATGTAAACTATATCATTTTTAAAATACAAACCAAAAATACGAGGAATAATTATGTTTTCCATGTATTCTACAACATATATATTAATCCGTAGTATCTAACTAGCGTGACGTCATAAATCGCGCCTGTAGCTGTTCTATTAGAGACGGTATTGGTCTAATATTTAGAAATGTCAAAAGCTGATGACATTTTACTTTTGTCAATTATGACATTTCGTGTTGATTTTTGTAAGAAGAGGAAGAACTGTCACTTGTTTTATTATTTTCCTTTTCTATTTCACGAAAGTAAAAAGAGTTACCTATCTGATTCGTTCAGGCACTCATTTTAAGGAATATCAGTAATTTTTTGGATAGAGGGATTTTATATTTGCCATGTTGGTAAAAAATAACGGTCAAAATTCAAAGTTATTCATTTTATAGACTATAGTATTAGTTGCGATATTACTACTGGCATTAGTGGCATTGACCGTGGAAACACTGGAACAGTGATTATTCTTTCTTTTTTTTTAGAATCGACGAATTATCCGTTATTTTGTTCATATTATTTCCTCTTTAATTGAATATAGCAATAATTTATATAAGGTCTACATAAAAAAATTTCGATCAACTATCTGTGTCAAATACCCCACTGTGGGGCGGTTTAAATTTTAAAAGATCATATAATCTTTGAAGATTCTGACTTTGACAAGAGAAAATTCTTTCTATTCTTGTTTGCGGTTGCGGGAAGCTGAGCATTCCAATCCAGTGTTTCCTTTTTTCCATAGCAACTGTTAAAATTGCCTTATATCTATCAAAAATAGCACTTTAACTGCAAGGGTAGATTAAATAATACTTTAACAGCGAGGATAGGTTAAAAACTTTATTTTTTCTCGCACATTTTTTAATTGCTTCCATTTTTGAAAATTTTTGTATTCCTTATAATACTTTAACAGCGAGGATAGGTTAAAAACTTTATTTTTTCTCGCACATTTTTTAATTGCTTCCATTTTTGAAAATTTTTGTATTCCTTTTCATAAGTTATTCGGGATTTAAATGGAAGTAGTTTGGATATGACGTTTGTCGCCTCAGCCTGAATATCTGTTGGTAATTTACTTATTTCGTTTTGAGCCATTTCTGGCTCCAATTCAATCAGCAATCGACACGAAGAAGAATTAAAAAATATTGACTCAAAACTGACAACTAAAGAGACAGCTTTATTTATTTGTCAAATTACATAGAAACCAATGCCAACCCAGCACAATAGTTTTTCTACTCGTAATAAATTCCTTGAAACAATAATTTCTGAATATTTTTTAAAACGTAACTCGCTATGGAAAAAAATATTGTTTTATACACGACGATAAAATTGCATTATCGTCTCACAAAATTAATTCACTCGCGATTTCATCGCTTCTCTTTTCCGGTCGACGATAAAATACCATTTTATCGTCTTGTATAAAAGTAACTATTATCTATGGACTGTATTCATAGTAAAATGTCACCTGGTGGTTTTCGTTCACTCTAGTAAACAACAACGACCCATTGTTCATAATGACTACTTCTTTGGTCTGATATGGCTCTAGTAAACGCTTGTCCTTGGTCCACGTCACATACTGCAGCGGCGGATTGGCTTTAATGTGACATTGCACCACTCCGGCCAAACGAAAAGGCAGGTACTGAATAGTGGGCGTGAATGTCACTTTGGCCGGATCTGCACCAAAACCTAACTTTAGTACTAGTCTAAGAGCTAGCAACGTTTTTGAGAAAGTATTTTAAGACGTCTGGCTCTTTGATATATCTTTTACTATGCTCTCTGGAACAGCATGAGGCCTGTGTGGCTGCCGATACCCGTTGCGTTCACTACTGCGCATCGGAAGAAGATCCTATATATTTTTTTTAATTTAGTCCTATAAATTCTAGTATTGAATATAAATCGAACATGTCTCCATAGCGCAGTTCGTAGAGTTTCCGACTACGAACCGAGGAGTTCGAATCTGGGTCAGGGTAAAGACTTTTTATTTTATTTTCGTTTATATTCTGATAGTAAAGTATTAAATAATTCTGGTGATTCAAAAAAAAAACAAATATTTAATACTTTACTATCAGAATATAAACGAAAATAAATTAAAAAAGTTTTTGCCCTGACCCGGATTCGAACTCTAACTCCTCGCTCGATAGGCTAAATCTCTACGCGCTGAGCTATGGAGACTAGGTCGGTTTATATTGAATACTAGAATTTAAAGGACTATTATTTATTCTCTCAATGCGTCGTAAGGAACGCAACGTTGACCGGCAGCCAGATGGGCCGCATGCTGTTCTAGAGAGCATAGTAAAAGATATATCGAAGAGCCAGACGTCTTAAAATACTTGTTTTTTTCGACGTTGCTAGCTCTCGTACTATATATTTAATAACAAATATTCTGGGCTATATTTTACATTCGACATTCAAGTAAGCTGATGCGCTTTGGGGCTCTCCAATTCCATTGCTGACTTCGCACAGGTACTGCCCGGAATCGTCAGAACTGACCGGATTGATGACCAGAGAACCGTCGCGTCTGATTGTGACTCTAGTCTCCAACGCTGCCAGCTCTTTTACGGGCGCTCCTTCTCGAAACCATTTTACTGTGACGTTGCCAGGTTGAGCTTTGGCTTCGCAATTGAACTGAACCTAAATATATAAGTATTTTTTAAGTAAAAGAACCAACTGAACTAATTTCTGAAATAATAGTCTGCGTTGCATAATAATAACTTTATTAGATTTAGTTTAGTGACATTGAGCTGATTTTTTTTGTTTTGAAACACTTGAAAAACAATGATAACTTTATCAGAATGAGTGTTAGACAATAGACAGTTAAAGCACGGCCAAAGACGTAGACGTAAACGTATCGTTTGACATGTACGCTTGCGCAGTGTGAAATTCACTTGCGTTTACGGATACGTGATACGTATCTTTACGTGCCTTTACGTACGTACAAAACGCAAACGTATCGAGCCGGAGGAGTTTCGATTTTCAGCCGAATGATGCCGAACGTACAAATTCAGAAACAACTCGTTTCCACAACTGGCTAGCTAATTAAGTTATTTCATAAATTTTGGGGCCAGTGTCACAGAACTGGGCCTATTTTATTACAATAAATTAGTATGAAAATATTAAGCATCATAATAAACTCATTTTGGAATCTATTTAATTAAATGCTAGTTCTTATAGGCAAAACCATAATATGAGAATTCTAAAAGATGGAATCTAATAAATAATCATAAAGCTGTGTCTGCTTTCCAATATTTTTTTTATTACGAAGAGCATTTTAAGTTGTAAGGACTACTTTCTGTAATAAAATAATTTCCATTTATAATTTTCTTCAGTTTTCGATATTACTTTTATAAATTTAATGTGGAATCAATGGAGTAATAGATATCCATTTTCAATTTTAAAATTAAATAAATTGTTTCACAAAATAATTTTTTACGTTTGCGTTACGTACGTCAAAATACTTGCTTTAATTCTTGTTTACACGACAACGCAACGGCAGACGTAACGTAAGTTTCTGCGTTACGTGTCGAGAGATACGTATACGTATTGTGCCTTGCTTTAACTGTCTAATATTAGAATTTGTATACGCAGCGATCCACAATGATTGGTATGGTTGGCAATTCTGATTATGCTCGTTTGGTTGGCAATACATTTTAGAAATTCGAATATTTATCGGCTAAGATTTCTAGCGTCAAATAAACCAAAAATTAAATAATATCGTTGATTAAAAAAAAGAAGATGTAGCTGGCGTTACCGTTATATATCCGGAATTTAGTTTAGCTCTGCGCTGCTGTACGCTAATAGACGTTTACAGCGCAGCGAATAAAGAATACTGTACCGTAGTTCTGCTTTCAGTCGACAGAGTGGGTGGTTGCCGGAGACAGTGTTGCCAGAACTATATACGGATTAATCCGTAGATTTACAGATTTTGGTTACAGTACGTTAATAATAAGGATTTTCTATCATTAAACAATTTAATATAATATTATACGATTAAACAAAGAACAGCGTTAGAGTTGGATTGGAAATGAAGATCGCTGTTATTTCATATGTAAAATATTATGGTAAATGTCAATAGTTCAACTCCAAGCCAATTAAGCGATAATATGACTGATTTGTTGGCGATATTTATTTTTCAATTTCTAACCTTGTTTTGCCCACCGGAATGATTATGTAAGTATTCCGTTTCCAAGTTGAACACAACAAATATATCGTCAAAAAGTACATTTTTACATGGAAAAATATGCCAATTTCACAAATAACAAAGTCAATACTTCTAAATTTTCAAGAGAATAAAGATAAGCCAGAAAAATTGACGTCGATGAATTGACGTGCTAAATTTTTCTGTCGATATTATTTCTACGATACGATATTATCACTACGAATCACTATGCTGAAATACCCACAGCATTTCCAGCAATTTCAATCCATTGTAGATCGCTCCGTAATACTAGTTGCTTGGATTTTAAAATTTACAATTTTTTAAAAAATTAAAAAACTTTTTCAAGTTTTATAACATGCAAAATATTACATTTAACCCTAGATTATATATACTTTCGTAGATAAGTAAATCACTATGGAAACTGTAGCAAACAGATCAACGACTTCCATTTATCTTCTTATACAATTACAAATTATACAAAAAATACATTTAACCACTCCGTACGAATATCAATATTCTTATGAAATCTAACCAGAAAGTATGCGTGTGGTTTAATATAAATAAAAAAAACAACTGAATACACTTTACTTGGCTATGAAAAGATAATTCTGGGACCTTTATATATTATATTAGAACTTCCACACACCAAACACTTTCTAGTCATTTTTACAAAGTCCAACGAAAAAAAATAGAAATACAATAATTGCACAAACTTAAAATTTAAACGTCAACGGTTTTTGTAGACGTATTAGTCTAAGAGCTGACGACATATTTAGAGAACATATTTTAGGCAAGCTAGAACAACTAAAAATGTATAGTTTATTAACTGGTGAACCCCAAAAAAAATAAATCCAACAAACATTCTTTAGGCAACTTGAAATTTGTTTATTCTTAAATTTTAGCATCTATTTAACCTAGAAATAAGTATGCCAGACTTTTTTTCGGGTTTAAAGTGTAACCCGACCGTTCCAAATATGTTTAATTATTATACCTGGAAAAAACATACTTTAGGCATTCTAAAATTTTTACAGAGAGTTTATTAGATGATATTAAAAAATATGTGTTAATTGACAGACGAATTCAATGGGATTTAATACTTGCCAGACGCGAATAAAGATTGTAAATGAGCGCGATAAGAAAGTCTTATGAGTATCTATAAGCGCGAGAAAGATAGTTTATTGAGACCTGGTCGACAGCCGATGCGGCTGACGTAACAGCATTTTTGAGTCGTAAAAATTAAAAAAAAAAAACAACTAATATTGAATAAATAAAAAGAAACATTTTCTAATAAAAATGTATGATTGAAATCCTTTCAATAAGAAGACTTTTTAATTTAAGTATTTTGTATCTGAAAGAATAAAAAGACGAATAATTATTTAAAAATTAGCATAATATAAAATATATTTTTTTCAAGCATCACAAAAGTATAATTATTAATATACTTTTGTGACTTATTATATTATTATTAATTTTTGCGACCTCATTGACAATATAAAAAAGTCATTTTAACGCCTAAGCATAAAAGTAAAGCACTTTTACTTACTTCTGAATCTATTTAGAAAGATTAACAATGGTACTTTAATAAAATTCCAGAATACTTATTTTATTAGCACTGTACATGGTACCCTTTTGTCGGGACTACGTTTTCTGGTAAAACCACTTCTTTAAATTTTAAACCATGTTGTTGGCGCACTTTTAAAAATTCTTTGCATTTTTGTAGTCTGCCTTCATCAAAAACAATAACTTTGTCACTAGTAACTTTTTTACAAACTACACAACTTAAATGTTTTTTATCCATTGTGATTTAGTAGTTAGTAGCGAAATTAGTAGTTACTAAAATATTGATTTTAAGCAGAAATTATTCTAAACTATTTACACTAAGCACGTAAATATTTAATTTATAAATACATATTTGTACCTGGTAACTAAGCCTGCAAATAATTGAAATGAAACCGAAAAAAAATTGTTTTTATGAAAATTTGAAGTACAGTTTGACAAATATAGGAAGAGACTTGGGGATAGCACCGGTCGCGCACACGATAGAGAGAGAACGCATTCGACGGAAGAGGGATGCAGTTACGCTACGAAAAATCTGATTAAAGCAAATTTGTGGGCTGTCCACTGCGCATTGAGGGGCGTCTCTTATTTTATATTTCTCACGTCTCTAGCTATACTTGTTAAGTTGTACTCCAAAATACTGTTACATGGCTCATCATCGGCTGCCGACGGGTCCGAATAAATTATCTTTCTTGCGCTTGTAGATACTCATAAGACTTTTTTGTCGCGCTCATTTAAAATCTTTATTCGCGTCTGGCAAGTATTAAATCCCATTGAATTCGTCTGACAATTAACACATATTTTTTAATATCATCTAATAAACACGCTGTAAAAATTTAGAATGCCTAAAATATGTTTTCCAGGTATAATAATTAAACATATTTGGAATGGTCGAGTTACACTTTAAACCCGAAAAAAAAGTCTGGCATACTTATTTCTAGGTTAAATAGATGCTAAAATTTAAGAATAAACAAATTTCAAGTTGCCTAAAGAATGTTTTTTGGATTTATTTTTTTTTGCAAATGTTATGGGTTGCGCAGTAGCGAAATACCCCCAACCCCCCAGCCAGACTTAGGATTCTGTGTTCACAAGTTATTAAAGTTTTTTTTTGTTATTCTAACTTGCCTAAAATATGTTGTCTAAATATGAAGCCAGCTCTTCGGCTATATCTGTTTTAAAAAATTAAAATGTTCTCGAATAATTGAATTTTAAATAGTTTTTTTCTTTGTATTTTTTTGCTTCCGACGACAGAAAGGGATAAACTTTCCGAAACGTTAAGCATTTTTTTGTTCGTTAGGCAAATTTGTATATCTGTAAACCTAACTTCTGACAAATTTTCTTGCAGTGGCGAAATACCCATACAGGATTTTTTGGAGAGGTGAATTGGCTACATAGATACAGACATTTTTGAAAGCTAACTTCTTACTGAACACAGTTGCATCCTTGGCTGTATAAAAGCTATCGATAAAAAAGCAATTGATACAATTTTTAAAATAAAAAACACAAAAAACCAGCGTCGTTACACAATGGAAATAAGATCATGACAAGATTATGACAATATGATGACAATGAAAAGTTGGTTTCCATTAACTACGTATAATTTGTACTTTCTAAACCGTATAAAATTGTGATTATTTTGGGAATACGTGCAACTTTTAATGCGCATGCGCAAAATAAGGTCCTCGGAAAAGACAAACCTATTTAACGTTTCATAAGTGCAATAAAGAAGGTTTGAAAATGGCATGTCGTGATGTTGGAGACATTTTTTTTAATGCTAAACTTATGGCGTTGATTTATCCACGTAAGTATATATGATGTAGGCATTTAACTAACTACTTAGGATGTATTTCGTTGCTTACCTTGGTTATGGTTTTATGTTCCGTTTCTATCGGTTTCCTGAAAGTTTTCTTATTACGGAACACGGTTCCTGAAAAATTCGGTTATAACTGTCATCAAACTAACCAGCGCGAGAAGGCTGGTTTTTCTGGTTTTGTTTGTCAATCAATGTCATTTATGTGACAGAAATCAAGCAAATATTGGAGGTTCGAGTAAAATTCTCATTTAATTTCTAAAACGTGTAATAATATTTTGTATTTACATCCAAAAGCAATGGAGGTAGGCAGTAAAGGTAAATAAATTTCATTAACTAAATATAATTAATTTTTTTAGGACCATTTAAACTTATCAAGCAGCCATTGTTTCTTAAAGTCAGGAACGTTTAAAGAAAACATGAAAAACAAGACAAGTAATCGTGAATGTTTTGTAAGCTATAAAAATATAAATATTGATTAGATTTGTTTTTTTATTATTGATCTGTTTTAATATTGGACCTGCAAATCTTCACTTGAGCTGTCTAACGAGTTTAACAGTTTATTAATAAAGTACTTTGCAATATTAAACTCCATTGAAAAGAAGAGCAAACGTATAAGCAGAGAATAGGTACATTAAAAATGCATAAAAGATAAATTTTATAATAGAGGTATTGAAATTTAGAAAATGTCAACATTTGACATTTCCAGTATTTTACCAAACCATTCCGTATCAAACCGATGTTTTTCAGGAACCGCTCTTTACCGTAGTTTACCGGTCTGGTTCGCTTGGTTTTGCAACGGAATACAGCCTTAATAAATTAGCTTGATTGCAATTACCTTGTCACCTTCCGATTTAGTTTGATTGGTAGGCGGAACCATGATAACAGCCCCGCCAGCAATAATAACTCGAGCCGTATGAGATATTTGACCTTCTCCGTTACGTGCGATGCACGTGTAATCTCCAATGTCCTCATGTCTTATGTTCGATATACGTAGTTCTGTGCCGTCATTAAAAATACCTATGTTACCTATGGTGGTGGTGGGATCTACGGGATTAGCATCCTTGTACCAGAGTATTTCTGGAGAAGGTGTTCCCTCCGCCTGGCAGTTCAGGATGATCGCGTCCCCCAGGTTCACGTAAATGAGGTCGTCGGGGGTCACTACGAACCTGGGAGGTGCGTGAACGTCCAGATGGAACCAGGTGCCGTTCTTCGGGTGGTTCGGTGATCGGTTGAGGAACACCACCTTACATTCATACCTGTGAGTATAGTACAAATTATTTAATATAATATCCATCCATATATCGCCGCAGATATCACGAAGTGGCGTAACTCATTTTATGATATTTTTCAGGAGAGCCGAGCGGTTTAAAGTTTTTTTACCACTTTTGTTTTAATACTAACCAAAATATATTAAAGCCACTGTGTTTCTTTTTTTTGTTAGAGAAACATAGAAATACATTGTTAAAAAATATCAAAAAATTAATGACACTACTTCGTAATACCTACGACGATATACAGGGTGGTCCGAACTGTATTCCGGAAACTTCGGCAGCATATTCTGCAGATAAAAATAAATAAAAAAGTTCGTATAAATGTATGTCCTAAAATGATTAGTTTCGGAGATACAGGGTGTGGTAGCTTGATTTTTATTTCGATTTTTCCAATAATTTCTGAAGTACCGTTAATATTTGGATGAAAATTTGTATCAGGGAGTTTTTTGACATGAGAAATTTGATTTTGATGTTAATATGACTCCTACTTGTAAAGGGCGCCACCTACTGAGTAAAACAATATATATTTAAGTACTCGTTCTTTACGTAAAAAAGATCTCTTGGTAAAAATCGCAATGGTTCGCATTCGAGCAATGGTTCTCGAGATATTTGGAATCATGATTGCCATTAAACATGTTGACCAAATAGTGGTCAGACTGAAATCATAAATTTGAAATGTTTCGTGTCAAAAGTGCAACAGAAACTATTTTATCATTTTTTCAGCAGAAAATTTATAATTAATTTAAAAAAATAAAACTTTCCCAAATTTATTTTTTCAGTCAAATAACTATCTACTGAAGTGTTTATTTTTTGTCAATACTGACATGTATTGACTATTTCCATTCTAAATATCTTGATAAAGGCTGCTCGTAGCGATTTCTACCAAGAGGCATTTTTACGTAAAAAGTCACGGAAATGTACATTTTTTCACTCAGCAGTTTTATACAGGTACAGATGAAAATTTATTACTCTCGTAAACAGTTAAAACACATGTAGGTGGCGGTCCCTACAAACAGGAGTCATATTAATATCAAAATCTAATTTCTCATGTCAAAAAATTCCCACACACCAATTTTCTTCCAAATATTGACGTTACTCCAGAAATTATTTGGAAAAATCGAAATAAAAATGAAATTTCTACACCCTGTATCTTCGAAACTAAGCATTTTAGGACATACACTTATACGAACTTTTTTGCTTATTTTTATCTGCAGAATATGCCTCCAAAGTTTCCGGAATACAGTTCGGACCACTATGTATATAAAAGCTCAAAGGGTTTTCTTGTCCCATCCATCCCGCGGCTACCGCTTAACCAATTTTGATGATTCCTTTTTTTAAACGAAAGATGTATATTTGCAGATTGTTTAAGAAGCATTTTTATATTGTTTTATTGCTATTTCTCTTTATGGAAAATTAATAAATATTAAAAAATACCTGAGAAACACACCTAACACACAATATCTTCAGAAATCAATTATTTGTCATTGTCAGTGGTGTGTCAGATTATATATCAAGGTTTGAGTTATTTTAGGAGTCAGTCTATATCTATACCGCTGGCTTTAGATACATAAATACTGGCACAAAGGTTCTTTTAAATGACATTAACTTATTAGCTAGACAAAGCGATTATAGGAAATTCATCCTCTTATGCCGGATCCAGACCACGGTGACAAAAAGTAAACACGATTTTGAGACAAAAACAAGACAAACTTGCGACAAAAAATGGGGAATTCTGACAAGACAAATTTGAAAAAAATTGTCCACACCGCAAGGACAAAAGTACAACAAAGTCAAAAGTTTAGTTGTTGCGAGTGAGTTTTATTGACCATCTGTGATTTCATTGGTCTCCTACTGTTGGCAGCACACGCCATCCACACTGCGTCAACAAATTGTCGTAAAATATACGAACAAAACTTAAACACTTTGATGTTTACCGACTCGAGACGGGACATTAAAAAGTCTTGTCGCAGACATGTATTGGATTTGTCGCAATTTTGTCGTAAAACATGAATGTTTCTGTCTTGTGATTGTTTTGTCTGTTTAGTCTGGACCCGGCATTAGAGAGTAATTATTAAAACTATGTTGGAAAGTTCGTTGTATGAAAATTCCTTATTATGTGGTCTAGAAGTATGAAATTCTGCAGAAAGAATTCTTAAATGAAGAACAAAGGAAGGAATTTATACATATTCATCAAATAAATAGTTAAAGTTAGTGAAAAAAAGAAATAACAAAAAAAGGAACTAAAAATATAAAACTATAACGTAAATTATTGAGAATAAAAATGTATTCAGGTGTTAATATTTCAAAATAAGCACACAATCAAAATAAGTATATCTCTCGTATTTTATTCCACGAAAGTATACTTATATATTTTCTAGAATGCTTCTTTGCTTTTGAATGAAAAATATAAACATCTCTTCAAAGGTATATGCTAGTATAGTGTTTAATTTTTTTGCAACGTTTTTTCTTTATAAAAAAGAAATGTTCTTTGTGTATAGAGATAAAAGTTTAATATCAAAAAGTATTTTAGACCGAAGGTATAAAATACCTTTTGCGAAAGGTTGCTTTGTACGAAAAGTATTTAGAAATTCACTCTGTATTAAGAAATTAGGTACCTTTGTAATAGCAAAACATTTTCCGATGCACGTCCGACTAAATTTTCGAGTTTTTGCATTTCTTGAAATAGTGTGTTGAAAATATTTCGAAGCATTTAAACAGTCAAAGCAAAGAGCTTGTAGCTTCCCTGATAAACAATTTGAACGAGAACGTGACAATAAAGGTCGTTTATTAGCCTTCATTGCAGTCAGAAAAGTTAATTTGATTGATAAGCACATTATACCACTTTCAAAGTTAGATTTTATTAAATTCTGTGATTATTAGTTTATGCATTAATAGCACTCTCTTGCTTTTTATTACCACTTATGGCGTTGTAAGATGTACATCAATAAATAAATAAATAACCCATAATAACGCTTAGAATAATCTTCATAATGGACTAGTTTTTGCCAATATGTAATAAATAAAACGAGCTATAAACAAATAAATCAATTAATTACTAAAATATTAGTTATTAAATTAAAAATAAAAGATAAAACTCTTTAAACAATGATATAATAAATATATTGTTTGTCAATTTTAAATTAAGATTCATCCCATAAATCCATCACAATCTCGCAGCGCTGTCGCCATCGCTTGTCACTCAAAAGTTGATCACGTTCATCGGAAATTGTTTTGCAATTAATTATCTCAATTAAGTAGCCAATAAGCCGGAGATAAAAAACTAAAACTGGCCTTGTACTTACACTAAAAAAATACAGAGCGCTATAATACATAAGGATTCGGGATCCATTTAAAAGGATAATATTGGATTAGATCCGGAATACTCACCATCCCTGATCAGATTCCCGGATATTGGTGAGGTTAAGCGAGGCCGCTCCATAGGGAGAATCCTCGGACACCCTGGACACCCGCCCTTCGTACCCTTCGCCGCTGTGCGTGGGGTAGCTCTCGTACCAAATGTAAATCGGTATGTCCTGTCCCTTTAAAAAGTACTCAATCAAGGTACGGCTCTTCTGGATGAAAAACAACGAAAAATGACTTTAATCTTTAAGGTTCTGTGTATATAATATCCTTCTTTTAGGATAGTATTAAATTTCTACGCTCTGTAAAGAAATCGGGTTAGTTTGTTAAAAAGATCTAAAATACTAGAATATAAGATTAAATCAAGCAATAATTAGGTTTCTGAATAATTATTATGCAGATTAATTACTACTATAAAAGTTGCCTCACACGTTACTGAGTTCATAAATGTCTGAGGTATCTTCTGAACGTTGCTGGGGTAACATTCATAAAAGAAAGTTTGCGTAATTTGTTAGCGCGTTCTTCAAAGACCATCATTAAATTTTAAAGTAATTTTGAAAGTCGTTTGAATGAGTATATGTACGGATTATTGTAAAAATGGAGAAAATTGACTACCAAGCATTATTCAGATATCTGATGCGAAAGGAAATACCGGGTGCGTATCAAGAGTGGCACACCCCTATAACTTTTTTATATTTTCAGATAAAAAAACTAGATTTTCTATATTAGTATATGACATAAATTAGGATTGATTGACGTATTCAATTGTTTTCGGTCACTTCCTGTTTCACAGGAAATTACTACAACTTTTGATTTTTAAATGACACCCTCGGTATTTTTATTATTTTATTCGATAGAAAATGACATTCTCAATAGAATGACATATCATATGTCAACTTTTGACATTTTCGTTTAAGACAGAATTGAATTTTAAATTTCAATCTAGAGTGCCATGGCTGTGTTAAAAACACTAATTTTAAACCCCCCATATTTTTTTACTTTATTCGATAGAAAATGACATAAAATGACATATCGTATGTCAACTTTTGACATTTTCGAATATGCTTTATTTGAAATTGCAACATGCGATTCATATCGACAATTTGACTCGAAATACCAAGTGTGTGGTACCAAATTATACGCAAAAAACTGCTTTTTTCAAATATGCTAATGAACCAACCTCGTTCCATTTGAGAAAATTGAGATATTATTAAAAATACGATTTGGGCACCAAACCAAACCAAACCGACCAGGACAAAGCACGAAAAACATTAGATGGTCTAATCTATTTTTCCAAAGCTCCTTAATTAAAAATTAGTGCTTTTAACACAGCCATGGCACTCTAGATTGAAATTTAAAATTCAATTCTGTCTTAAACGAAAATGTCAAAAGTTGACATATGATATGTCATTCTATTGAGAATGTCATTTTCTATCGAATAAAATAATAAAAATACCGAGGGTGTCATTTAAAAATCAAAAGTTGTAGTTATTTCCGGTAAAACAGGAAGTGACCGAAAAGAATTGAATACTTCAATCATTCCTAATTTATGTCATATACTAACATGCCAAATCTGGTTATTTTTTCTGAAAAAATAAAAAAGTTATAGGTGAGAGCCACTTTTGATGCGCAGCCGGTATACTTATGCAAATAAAAGGGGAACAAACTCTGCACCATTATCAGCCACAATGATAACCACCTACTCTTCTTGATGATATTACTCTGTTTGTAGAGGACGTATCTAGAATTAATATTGGATAAAAAACTAAACTGGAACACCAATTTGAAAAAAAGGGTGCCATACTCTATGGGATGCTGCCGAATTTACGGCAGAAACTGAGGAATACTTCCCAAAAATATGTACTGGCTTTACATAACAGCCATCAGACCTATAATCACGTATGGTGCAGTTGCGTGGTGGCAGAAAGCCAACCAAGCAACGGCAAAAAATAAGTTGTCGAAAATACAACGACCAACATGCTTAGCGGTGAATGGTACCTTTCATTCTACGCCGTCAAAAGCTATGGAAACCATACTCGACCTCCTTTTTAATTTTTATAGAGAGGCGAGATGGACTATACGTATAGATTTTTAAATATGGCATGAAAACACCAAAGTACAATCAAGTTTGTACATTCTACAGAACTGAGCCAAACTGAGCCAAAGTAGGCCCGCAGTGGAGCGTCCCACAAGGAACCCTTTCTATTTATATTTTTTACTTTATATTTTTGGATATCTCGGATGGAGACATCTTAATTGATTATCTTTTAAAATTAATAAAAACTAATTTAAGCTTTATAATTAATATTTAAGATTAATTTTTATATTACTATCTAGTTTTATTTTTTTTCATCCTAGTATATTAAAAATTGTAAAATATATCCATAATACATAATATTTGAATATACGATTCTCAAGTTCTTTTTATAGTAAAACTGGAATTTTAAAAAGGTATATTAAAAAACAGTTATTAATTTAAATCCAACTCGCTAAAAGTCAATTACAATTTCGTATTAACATTAAAACTTTTCTATAATAAAACTTAAAACGGTTTTATTCACCTATATATTTCAAAAGTCAAATAATATAAATTTCCTGGCGCAATCAGCCTTTATGACTGACGAATTTTGTCGATTCAAAATGTTATGTCAGCACAGACGAAATGTAACGTCATTACAAATCAAAGCTAGTCAGGTCAATCGGACCTTTGGCTCGGACATTTTTGATGAAAGGATTTTCGTCCTTTTTACGCGATGTTGCAGTTTAATTTCCGGTATACCCACCGGAAGAGTGAAAAATGTTAGTGGTTATTTTTGGACGAACTTAAGAGAAAAGTAGTAAAAGATTAAAGTCATTTTAGTACAAATACGAATACTCTACCTAATTTAAGTTCTAACATGCTTCAGTAATATAATTTTGTAATCATTACAAAATGAGTCGATTAATTCAAATTTATATTTTTTTAAAAATGTAGTACAGTTTTAAGATCTCATGTTCGAAGCATCATTAATGTATACAGGGTGTTTCGAAATACATGTGTGTAATATTTCGTGGGGACATCCCTGATGTAAGATTTATTTTTATATTAACATAGGTTCGATTCTGCTTTGTTTATATAGGGGGTTAAAGTCTTGATATATTTTTTCTATTTATTATAATTTGCTTCCAAGTGCTTTTAGCGATTCGAATAAAATTTTGAGGGTAAAAGTTATTATAAGTGCTACATATTTTAATGTTAAAAAAGTGTCGATAAATTCATCAGGTACGTGCATATGGGTTATCACTGAAATATTTTTCAAAAAAAAACATGTGTTCCACTGACTTTTTTTCTATTGATATCAAAAATGTGTAGGCCGTTTAATGCCAATTAAAACTTACCTCTTGATATTTTGTCGAATTCGGCCTCCTTGATGAGATAAATTAAATTTTATTAATCACAATTAATAAAATTAATAAATTATATATTGTACCTAATTTATTATTAAATATTATTACTATTAGTTATTACTACTATTAGTTCAATCTATATCGATTTCAAATAAAAAAATAATGGTATTTAAGTATATAATGATATTTAAGATAATTACAAAAAACCTAGTTTTAAAAATGTTGAACATCCTGTAACTCTAAAACTATGCATTTCCATACTCATGTTTATAGGAACTTTTTGTAATTTTCGATCAGGAATCGATGAGTACTTAAAACTTTCGCAAGTTAATGATATCATTTTTTTAAAGGTTGCTATTAGACTTGGATCAAGGAAAATTAATAAGAGTTCATCTCATCAAGGAGGCCAAAATCGACAAAATATTAAGAGACAACTTTTAATCGGTATTAGACTGGTACTATTTCGCTAACAAGAGAAAAAAAGTCAGTGGCGTACATGCTCTTTTTAGAAAAATAATCCAGTGATAACACATGCCCATCCAGGGTGAGTATTTCGACACTTTTTTAACTTTAAAATATGTCGCATTTATAATAACTTTTACCTCATTCGAATTGCTAAAAGCACTTGGTAGAAAATTATAATAAATCGAAAAAAAAACTAACCCCCTGTAGCGACGAAAGGAAGCAACAAGTTGATATAAAAAATAAATCTTATTTTTACATGAGGAATCTCCCCACGAGAGATGGCACATGATTTTTGAAACACCCTGTATAATACGACAACTCTGCCATGTGAGAGTCGCTCTATTCCGACTGGTCGGTTACTTAGCCGATCCACATTTATAATTTAGCTTTGGGGCAGCTTTACGGCAATCTAAATTTTTTGAATCTTGATTTTTTAAGAAAACAAAAAACAAAATATTATTTATTAATTCATACTCGTTTTGTAATATTTTTTTTCCAACAATCTAAACTACACGTACATTGCGAGATATATTTCAAACATATTTAAGCCAAATCCAGAGACAAAAGGCATACTACAGATACGGAAGCAGCTAAAATAGAGATTTAAGCTAGAGATAGAGAGAGACAGATGTACAGTTTCCTAGATAACATTCGTTTGACATAAATGTGACCTTAAACAGATAACAAGTTTTAGTGTTGGTAGTTTGTGCAAAATAGATAACGTTGTTTTGCCATTTTAAGCTACAGTTCATACGAAATAAACTTTTGGTCACGTGATTAAGCTTCACCGGCACAGCGTTGCCCACTTTTATATATTTTCTTTTAATCAAAATATTTTTGAAACAAAAATAAATTAATAATTATAAATATATAAACAGTTAGTATTTACATTAACAAAACTCACCAACTTAACAGCACTTATGGGACATAAAGGGCCATTACTACCGCCTTCCCGTTCAAAATATTCTAATAAAGTTGCGATGAGTTTTTTACGGCTATTAAGATAACTTGTACTCTTCCCACTAAAAGAGGTTCTAAAAAGAGCAATGTTCGACTGCAAGGTCTGCTAGTAAACATTTTTAAGCTTAAAGTATTACAAAACTATTTATTTTTAACTAAAAACTCATAATAAAAAACTGAAGTGTCAAAACGAATGACAATGTCAAGAAATAAATAAATAAATGCGGGAACTTGACATTTTTTACAGCAAAGGTGCCACCTGAATCCCCAGCGGGAAATTTAAATTCCACAGTCAGCACGGCGCGGCGCCGAATATGTCCATGGTTGGCAACAATGAATTGAAAAATCGCGCCTTCGATGACGTAACTAACAGTTTATTTGGTATGAACCGTACAAGATA